TTTCCCCGTAAAAAGTAGCTTATGCTCTCAAACTAGGTACTTCTAAAAATCGTCGCTCCATTTCGATGTATAAGAAAAACAAACAAACACATTCTCAATTTTATAATATCAGTATGGATATGAATATAATATGTATATATATTATAACAAAATACTTTTTTCGAAGTTATGAAAAATGTTTATAAAATATTGCTTATACTACGTATCATCAAAGTATAATTTAATGCACATGATGAAAGTTAAAACACCCATTTTAACTGATTGATTAAAATGTATAATATTTTTTTATATAAATTGCTGCTGATTTTACATTCATGAAACACGTTGGTATAATGTATACTTTGGCAGATGCTGGGAGCAGATTTCCAGCCATATTCATGTTGTACTTGTATATTGTAGTAATAACTTTAGTACGTGACTGACAGTAATGTAGTACTCGTAGTAGCGAACTTTTAATCTTTAAAGTTAAAGCTTAAAGTACTGCTACGGCTATTATTATGTAAATTATACGAACAAAAAAAATATGATTGAATATATTTTCGAATTCTTCGGATAAGTAGATTCTTAAAAATCGTATTTTAAATTCATTAAAATCATCAAATTATAAATTTTAATAAAAATACGTATTTCGAATTGAAGTCAATAATTAAGTTAGATAATATTTATTCTATACTTTTTATAAAAATTGGTGTTAAAAATAAATAATAACTAGTTCAGATTCGCGGGTTCACGTCCTTTAAAAATATTGTCACTATTTACCTAATATTGTGAAAGTCGGAGAGACTGTAATTCTTAAATTTATCTATCTTTAAACGAGCAATTCTTGTGTATATATACATTAAGCATCGTGGTCAAGCGGCCAAGGTACAAAATCAATAATCACAGGTGTCCAGGTTCGAATCTCGGTCGCAGTTTTTTATTAATATTTATTTAAGTTTTTAGTTTCTAGTCAGAAAAAATACAAAAACTGCATTGTAAGAGTATACTAATATGTAAAACCTAAGAATTTAGTTTTTGGTCATCTAAGCGCGAGCGGAGCCGCGGGCAATGCTAGTAGCATATAAAATTTGAAAAATAATTTTACCACATTTGCTCATGTTTTATGAAAAGGAACTGTTCACTTAGTAATAAAAGAGCGGAAAGGTTATGAAATAAGCGATTATGGCGACAGTTGACTCACGGCACGTGTTCGAAGACAAATGACCGTAGCACGTGCTCTATATATTTCTTCAAGTGACAGACACTTTATGGAATTGAAAATGTGTCCCTGTCATCAAGCTACAAACACTTTTAACATTTATGTAAAATATGAAATATGCATGTTGTTAGTATGGCGTCTACAGTAGTCTATCTAGTTATGTTAGGGGTTGACTTATATATATATATATATATATATATATATATATATATTAGCAAAACCCGTGGCTTCGCTCTCGGTAAAACTACAAAAAAATCCTAAAAACGTAGTATCATACAAACTTTTATCCCCTATTTTACCCCCTTATAGAGTGAATTTCAAAAAATGCTAAAACACGTATTTATTTAATTTTATTGAAGACCATTAATACCAAGTTTCAAGTAATTCTGATTATAAATATTTTTTTGCATTGTATTATAATGTGTTTTCCCGTGGGAAACAAATTATCTCCCGCGGTAAAATGTAGCCCATGTCACTCTCCAGCCCTTTAACTATCTCCACACAAAAAAACACGCCAATCTGTCTGTCCGTTTTGACGTGAAAGAAGGACAAACAAACAAATACACTTTCACATTCATAATATTAGTGTGGAAGTATATATATATATATATATATATATATATATATATATAACTGAAAAAAATATAAGGCTTAAGTCAGACCAACATATTCAATTTTGAATATTTTATATTATCTTAGTGTTGAGAAGTTAGGTTATGCTAGAGCCCTGTCTCGAAAAGCGTAGCGGTAAATGTTAAGACGTCGGTTTTGTCTTAGATCATCGGTCGTGTCTTCCTTTGGCTTGATATTTTCATGCTATAAGGAATAGGTTACACTTATGTTTATGCATACGTATGTGCACTGTAATATATCTCTAACATCTCCAATATTTACATATTGGAGAGATTTACCGCCGTAAACAAAAATCGATCAGGAAAATATTTTATACATATTTTGTGTATATGTATGTGGAAATCAAACACGAGATTTTCATTTTATTACTCGTAGGACCCTATCGCGCTACGACGATCGCCCATAATATTATATAGTGACCTGCTTTTGATGAAAAGGGTTAGAAGTAGCCTATATTATTCTACAATCCATAAGGTATTCCTATAAAAATAGCATGACGATCGGTTTCGTAGAAATTTTTTCGTATTTATAATACTAGCATTGCCCGCGGCTCTGTCCGCGTTGTATGACCAAAAACCAAATTCTTAGATTTTACATATTAGTATACTCTTACATTGCAGTTTTTATATTTTTTCTCAGAAATGGGATATTTTCCCGCTGTAAAAAGTATCCTATACGTTGACCTGGATAACCAGCTATTATCATACTAAATTTCATCAAAATCTGTCCAGTGGTTTTTTCGTAATGCGGTAACAGACAGCCAGACAGACAGACAAAAATTCTAAAAACTATAGATTCGGCCTCTGTATCGATAATAATGTCTATTTCAATAAGATTTTCCAAAAAATATTTAATGTACAGATTCGGCTTGGTTACAATTTTATTATATGTATAGATAAGTATTGTTACATCACGGAATACGACAACCGAAATTACGTTTTCTATTTCAAGCGCAAGGTTTGAATGTGAATGCTAGCGGAAAATTCGCGGTGATCGAGTGTCGGGAGATAAAATAGATAATATGTCAAGACGGGGAAAATAATGAGGAAAGATTGAATAATAACACCATGGTATTCACGTGAGTTATTTATACCATGTTCTTTTCAAGTTCGCTTAAGGATTTCATTTCTTTATAGGCATTTTTGTGATTTCTTGAAATTATTAGGGCTCCTACGTACAAAGGTTTTTTTAACATTGTTACAAAATTATAAATCAAAATCAAATCAAATCAAAATATTTTATTCAGCATTAAATTATTACAATTTTTACTGAACGTCATGAGTCTACTACCAGTTCGGAAAGAAGAAGCCTCAGACCTGAGAAGAACTGGCGAAAGAAACTCAGCGGGACCAGTATTAAATTATCTTTTTTTATATAAATATAAAGTGATCAAAATATTAAAAATATATAAAACACGAAAAGCTTAAATATTAAAATTACTAAAACTAAAAATATTAATACTTAACAATAACATCCTCCAGTACGAAATATTTTTGCTAATTTTGATCACGTTTAGAGTTACACATGTCAGACGTAATTCGTTGTAATCCGCCTCCAGACAATGCATGTAGTACAAAAATGTTAGTTGTTATGACCTGACTGTTTTTTTGGAAGGAAAGTCGTTCTATTTCTCAATATAGTTAAATGAAGATTATAAAAAATATGATGTGCGTAGTTTTTATTGAAATATTTTACAATAATCTGCCATAAACATTCTTCAATTGTACATTTGTTCATCAAAAAAGGCTCAGCAGAGCCTGTGTATCTATACTAGACAGACAGATTAAACATTTATTAGAAAACCATGGAATAAAGATATAAATCCTAACACATATCAGTGAGATATCTTTAGGTCTATTATGAAATAGTATCTACAGTAAAGACTTTAAATCTTCAGCGTTTACTTGGTAAATTGTTTTTTCCTCTGATGACTACTATTAATCAAATCAAAATATACTTTATTCAAATATACAAGCACTTTTTAATCGTTAATTTTACATTTTCATTTAAATTAAATGTTAGTATGTACGTCCGTCCGTCCGTTTGTGTATAATATATACTATATGAAATAAAAGAAACATGACATACACAATGTTTGTTGCTTCATTACGCTGAAATAGCATTACGGATGTGGATAGCACACAAATAGACTATAGCCTGAAGTAACATATAGGCAAAGCGAGTTATACGATAAGGGAGATCTCATATCTTCTTCTTCTTCTCCCTGCCCATTTCCCAATTCTTATTCTCCCTGCCCATTTCCCAATCACTTGGGGTCGGCGCAGTACATCTTCTGTATTTCTGAAAGGATTTGGCAAAAGTTTTACGACCGGCCACCTGCCTGACGTCAACCCTCCTTGGGAATGCTAATGTCTTTGTCTGAATGGTATCGCGTAAGTCTTATAGTATGGCACTTTCAATTTTTTTTTTCAAAACAATTTTTATATTATTACTTAAATTTTTAATGTAATTTTCGGATACATTTTAAAATAAATTTTGATTACACATTAAATTTTGTTTTGACGTTGTCAAATCAAAAGGGTGATCTCATATATTTAACAAAAAATAGTTTTAAAAGTGATTATGAAGTTGGTTTACTTTTATTTAAAAAGTAAAATATATGAGGGCAGAAAGTAAGGGATCACACTTATCTTTCTGCTCTCAGATTAGCAAATATGGTTTCTAAATTTGATTAAAGCTTTGTTGGAATAGTGGCGTAATTAAAGAGTTATTCACTTTCATTATTAAATAAATAAATAAATAAATATGTAGGGACATTAATACACAGGACCATCTAGTTCCATGGTAAGCTACGAGGCTTGTGTTATGGATACCAGATAGTTGATACACTACAATATATAAACTTTAAACACATACATATTATAAATATAAACACCCATGACTGGAGTACAAACATTCGTGCTCATCACACAATGAATGCCCCCAGCGGTACTCGAACCCGCGATCACTGGCACAGCAAGTAGGCTCACTACACACTGAGCCAAACGAGTCGTCTAAATAGAATATTATACTAGAAATTTCTTTAGTTTGGTGTTCATAAAGCTTATTGTCCAAGCGAAATATTCTGCTAATAAATCCTCTTTATCTTAGTTATAAATTAGTACAAGGAACCAAAAGAAAATTGGTTGAACTTAAAGTTTTTTTACAGGCATGTTTTAAGCGATGGTCGGTTGGTGGTGGGCGCACGGCGTTCTTTAGTCGACGCGGGGGGCGGTGGAAGCAGCGCGGTGCTCAGATGTAAAGCCTCTAACCGCGCTGGAGTTACACTATCTAGACCGATGCTCTTACAACCAGGTATGCTTATATTCTAGCTATTAATTATTCTTATTTTTATGTGTATATATATATATATATATATATATATATATATATATATATATATATATAATTGTTTTTATAAGAAAGTTTATTTAGTGATACATATATATTGTAATATAACAAATGCATTGGAAGCAAGAAAAGCTTTTAGAAGAACCTTTAAATATTTTTATTTCTATGTTTATTTCTTGTTCATTAGAAAGGTTTTTAAATGCCATTATGGATATCATTAGAATTTTCATCGAAAAGCAGAAATCTTACCTTAAATTTTCAATAAAATTAAACAAATCCAAATTACCACCACTTCAATGTATTATCTGACTATATATTTATAAATACATACATACGTATTCATCATATATAGTTGTAATCAATGAACAGAAGTTAATCTTTAAAAAGAATAAGTTAATGTTTTATACTTTCTTTAGGTCATTAAAATAATTAACGCGATATTTTGTCTTCATTAGGGCTATATACTTATAAACTTCGTACTTATATCATACGAATGCAAGAAACGGATATAAAATATCTATATTCATATAGTAGACAAATTATCATCATAAAATCATATAGAAGTCAAGGAATCTGTTTAATTTACAACAAATGGATTACATGACATGTGCAGATTATACATAATCGTCCGTTTTATTATTAAAATCCAATTAGGTACCAGTATTCTATCGATAGCAGCGAGTCCATGGTAATCATATTAAAAGGCGATTCTTATTCAAAGAAAGCCCTATATCAGGACGCAGCTTGAAAATTAAATATCCTGTTTAAGCCGATTTAACGAGAATAAATTATTATTAGCACACAAATTTATAAGCAATTTTGGTAGAAAGTACCTATATTACTATTTTAAACTAGCTATGGTTCTTACGATGATAAAAATATATTCAATATATTAATACTCACCTGAAGTCACACTGACTAAAATTAACACGGACGTTTGACATAATAATTGATTTATTAAATAGATGAAAAATAAAACGGCATACTGATTATGTATTACGTATTTGCAAACATACATTATGTGTAGAAGTTTATATTATTTATATTTGAATGCAAAAAGATAGTTATTAAACATCGAAATTTTATTTACTTACGCTTCAAATATAATTGTATATAATAGCCAAAATGTAAACAACAGATCGTATAATAACAGATGTACGGGAAGAGGCCAAAACAAATTACAACTTTGAGTCGAGTTGAACCAATTAACTTTCTGTTACAGCGAGGAAAATATGGAATAAAATGAAAAACAGCCCACGGCCGCCCGAGTTTTTATACGAGAAAACTTTTAATTAAGGGATTAAAAATGACATTATAGCGAGTTTCAAATAAGTTTTCTTTTGTTCATCGCAGGTTTTCAAGAAAAAAATTAGTGACAGCAAAGTGTAATATTAAACTTCCGATAAAGTCCTGAACTAAATAAAATATTCTCAAAGTTCAACTCGAAATTGTCAAAAAGCGAATATAATCAATCATATTATGTTATTATCAAAGACCAAAGTTCGATCACTCCTACTTTTGACTAGAGCCCATTCGGGTTAGCATTGAACCCCGAAAAATTCAAAAATTCAAAATCAAAATTCTAAGCCAAAATTATACTTCACCAGCCTCACTCCATCACTGGGAGTGAAAATTTAAAATCGCGACCAAATTCGAGTGATGCGTTAGCCGCCATCTGGATTAATAAGGGGGCTTGATAAGGAGGAATCGTTTTTCCCTAATATCTCGGTCATTTTTAACTTTTCGAGATAAACTATAAGGACTAAAGTTGTTCATTATTCAATTCTCTACATTTTATTTGTCCATTTTTTCGGCTTATAATAATTTATTTGGTTTGACAAGAACAAAGGCGCAACCAGTTATTATGTGTTTTGACATACAGATTCTACAACATTATTAATCTTCTCACTTTTTTTCAATTTAGCAACCTTCTACGCAAAAATTATTTGAAAAGCTTTTCCTTTATCGATTACTAGCGACTTACGCTTCCCCATACAAACTTTCATCCCCATTTTCACCTCTTTAAGGGATGATTTCCGGGATAAAAAGTATGTCTTATGTCCTTTCCAGGGTCTCAAACTGTCTTTTTACCAAATTTAATCTAAATCGGTTCAGTAGATCCAGAGATTACTCCCTACAACGTCACAAACTCACAAACTCACCATTCACAAACTTTACCTCTTTATAATATTAGTATAGATATCTTATTTTGTTTGTTCATATATGAATACTGGTATTATTAAGCTTAGGCACTCCTAGGATTGACTAAGAATTCATAAGGTATAATTCTAAAGTATATAGTCTGTTTATGACTTTGCTCAAAGGTCAAATCTTTGATAGAATAATCGCCACGGAAGAGCTTTACGTCGATCTTAGTCTAAAATATACAAGTAAATAATTAGTAGCTTATAAAAACATATTTTTACAATAACATAATTTCATATATTTTTAATTTATTGAAATGAGTTCCATTAGTCTCAATTGTATTAGGCACATGAAAAAAAAAATATTTTATTCCAATTACTTTTTCGCTTGAGAATACGGAAAGTTTTAATTAAAGATTATTCGACAGAATATTTTCCGTCACAAGAACGCAGGCTTCTCAAAAATATTTTACTATATCAAATATTTCTTTAATGCGAGTTTTTTGTATGAACATCTTCATCGTTGATACGCTTTTAAGCAATTACTCCATAATACCTTGGCTTTTGTTTAATAAACTTTCTAACGAGCCTTTTATCAGAAAGGATGGCTGTAAACAATTCTTTTTGCTCAATAAGTGTATTATACTTGGCTAAATTGGACCAAATTAAAATAATTTCAAAGACGTTATGATTTCGTTTCAAGTTTCTTATTTTTATCCACTCTATAAAAAATACATAGGTACTATTTCTGTATCGTTTTATTCCTAATTTAAACTAGGTGTGATAAAATATTTTTCGATTATGGTTCCGTGTCTAGTGTTAGTTGTAGTGTTCCATATATATTATCCTAAAGATAATATGTATGGAACGGTGATGGACTTTGGATAATTAGTGGAGATATATTACAATTGATAATTAGGTACTTAATAATAATTATTAAGTGTATACTTACAAGAAAGTTTTTTTAACAGTACTTATATACAAGCGACAATCTATACTTAATATTATAAATGTGAAAGTGTGTTTTTTTGTTTGTTTGCTTGTCCTTTTTTTACGTACAAACGGATTGACGTGATTTTTTGTGTGTAGATAGTTGGAAGGCTGAAAAGTGACATAGGCTACTTTTTACCGCAAGAAATTGTCTTATTCCCACGAAACGGGAAACGGAAAAAAACCGAAAACACGCTATAATACAACTCAAAAAATATTTATTATCAGAATTACTTGAAACTTGGTATTAATGCTCTTCAATACAATTACCTATATAAATATATGTTTTAGCATTTTTCAAAATTCATCCCATAAAGGGATAAAATAGGGCATGAAAGTTTGTATGAAACCTATCTTTTTAGAGATTTTTTTTTGTAGTTTTAGTGCGAGCGAAGCCGCGGGTTGTGCTAGTGATTACATCATTAATAGTATAAACTCAATAAGTTAACTAACAAATAATTAAAACTTGAGTGTGTTTCAAATTCATGCTAGGAGCTATGTTTACGTAGGAACATATCATATCTCCTAGGTATTGCTAAACGGGCAACACCAATAATATGCATATTGTGTATTGGCAAGGAAATCTGTGTACAGTCGACCGTGCAATAATTAAACTTATCTAATAATTTTGCTAGAATATCGATCCTAACATAAACCTTGAAAATTTAAATAGCATGTTTTTTTTTCAAAGAGACATTATTAATTACTAGCGACTCACCATCGCTTTGCTCGGGTTTGTCCCTAGGTACGTTTTAACGTTTAGTATTCCCATACGAAATAAACAGTTCTGAATTTTTCGATTTTTCCAGTTGTTTTTTGGGGTTTTTCCTATTTTTTATATTTAAACTACCCCTGACACATCCCTAACAAAACAAACAGTAGAATAGCAAAATCATATATTAAAACAGCTACTTTAGTTTAAATAAAGAAATCATCAGATTTAAAATCAAAGTAAATTCATTGAATTATTCAGATTAAGGATCAATTAAATATATCTTAAATAACAGATTTAAGTTACTTTTACTAGAACAAAATATTTTTAGAGAGGTCTTTCTCAATATTATTCAGGTACGAAAAAATAAAAGTAAAATTGTTATTGTTTATATTAAAATGTTGTACTTCTGAAGAATATTTTCTATTGATATTAAAATTATATTTCTAATAATTAAGGCCCAGACAAGTGACTGAAAGGCAAAAAGTGGGGGCGGGAGGTACTTCAATCTTATTCTCATTCAAATGAGTTTTACACTTTGATGTTATATTGTTTATTCTGTGATTCTGGAATGATTCTTAAAATATAACTCACAAACAAAACAAGTCGTTGAAATCTTATTGTTATACGTTCATAATGATTTTCTTTGCTTCGCTAATACTGATGTTGAAATGATTTACATACTAGCTGAATCCACGGCTTCGCCCGCGTTCAATCTACAAAAAAAAAACTTTTGCCTTTATGTTATATAGCGCCTCACCCTAATTTTGCTCGGATTCGAACCTATGTTTTTGTATAATTTATATAATTTTACAATAATGTATGGAAGTCTGTCCGATTTGTTGACATGTGTGACTACTGCTCCCTCCTTTGTGTCGTAGCATGATGATAATATAAAGCCTATATAATAGCCATCCTTAATAAATGGGCTATCTAATGCAAAAAGAATTTTTCAAATTTGATCATTAGTTCCTGAGGTTACCGCGTTCAAACAAACAAAAAAAAACGAACAAAGAAATTCTGCCTCTTTATAATATTAGCACACTAATTAAAATTATAAAAATATTTAAAATTAAAAAGTATTGTAAGGTACTTTGGTGCCATTTTTAAATTTTTTGAATTCATTTTGTTATTTGTGGGTACTGAGTAGGCTGTCTGTAACAACTATATAATACCTTTGAGACATATAACACCTCAGTCTCTCCCGTGACCATGATTGCTATAAAGCATTCGAAACGTCGGGAACCAAAAAACCAAAGAAATCCACGAAAAAATCCGAAAAGATAGTTTTATTTATAAATTAGAAATTATATATTACATACTTATTACTACGATACTTTACCTCTTTATAATATAGGTACAGATAAGCTATTTATATGTCTTTCTGGAAAATGTTTAGTTCTTTTCTTTTTTTTTTATTCTTTATTGGCTTATAGTTGCGTTAACAGACGCAATCCATTCTGCCAGTGTCACGTTTTGTGAGGAAGACACGAATGAGATTGAGCGGTAATTTTGAAATTTGGTAACTTTAATGTGGAATTAAAACTATAAATCAATAATCGGTCTACAGGAGTAATCTACAACAATAGTAAAATAATTACGTAATACAAAAATGACATAGTTCCTTTCTTAATCGCGGGTATAAGCGATTAACGGTTCTTGTCGCTAATTGTCATATGTTGATAACTCATGTCTTAGGTTAGTCTTTGAAAAGTTTTAGCATGATAAAACATCTTTCAGACGAGTCATTTTAAATTATTAATTATGGTGTAAAGACGTTACACACTACACTCTTCTTCTCCCTGCCCATTTCCTAATCACTTGGGGTTGGCGCAGTACATCTTCTGTACTGCTGAAAGGATTTGGCAAAAGTTTTACGACCGGCCGCCTGCCTGACGTCAACCCTCCTTGGGAAGGTTACACACTACACTACGCAACAATATTATGAAATTAAACTACCGGCATGATGATTTCAGAATCTAAGGACGCTAGTACAAGTAAATATCGTCTAAGGGAAAGTAATTAGCGCGAAGCTTGTATGTACAGTTGTATAACTAATGCAGTTATTAACGTATATGTTTATGTTATTATATGCGAAAAAGATGTTCTTAGTAAATAAATAAATTAGCGCGAAGGAGTTTAAAGATTTTGGTGATTTTTGCTTCAAAATACGGTACATACTCTAGGTTATCTTTTAAAAAAATTCTAATTTAGTAGTTTAGATGAAAAGTGAAGTGCCTTAATTCTCATTTTAATTATATTTAATAATATTATTAAATTGACAGACAGACATACCGCTACACAAATGACTGTTTAGGTGTCATTACTTTCATAAATTATGAAAATATTAGTAAAATTATATCAAAATGCTTTGTTTTGATGATAACAGAAAATGGCAATTACCCACACATGTTTGACGTGTCAATGTTAAAATTACCATTTAAAACGAATGTATCCCTGTGATTTCTTTATCATTGCTCATTCACTATGCATTAGCTAGTGATGGATAGGTACTATGTATTATAAATGAAGCTAGTAATTGCACTATATTAATTGAATATACCGCATGAAAAACCAATTTGATTTTAAATGCATCACATTTGTTGAAACCGCAATAAGGTTGAATAAATAAATTACCCGAATTACTGTAATATCACACTGAATGGTACTTTATAATTAAACTAGCGACTCACCCTCGCTTCGCTCGGGTTCGTCCCTAGCTAGCTTCCCAATACAAACTTTCATCCCCATTTTTACACCCTTAAGGGATGATTTCCTGGATAAAAAGTCCTATGTCCTTTCCGGGGTCTCAAACTATCTTTTTACCAAATTTCATCTAAATCGGTTCTGTAGATCCAGAGATTACCCCCTACAACGTTACAAACTCATAATTCATTAAAATTTAGTACAAAAGAAAGTAATTTTTGTGTTTGTAAAGCATAAAGAAGACACGGTTAGTTGTATTCAAATCCGCGACACATATTGTGTATACATACATAATATGTATGTGCTGCGTTAGTTGTATAGCATAATGTGAGAAACATTGGTCTGTACATAATGAGTAATTTGATGTTCACAATTATGAAACATGTATATATATATATATATATATATGTATATATATATATATATATTTGTTGAATAATTTATATTCTAGGCTAATCTCTTATGAAGGCTACTTTTAAGTGATATTGAAGTGAGTGAACCATTTTTCTCAAAAAGTAATAGATATAAATGGTGAAACATATATGATATCATAAAGTTATTAACAGAGTTAATTAACAATAATAATATTATCGACTAGCGAGTTACTCTCGCTTCGCTTTGGTACGTTTGCTTTTTTTTGAGCAGAACCCAAATATTTATTCTAAATTGAAAGTAGTTAAAGCTATTCCTTATAACATCAGATATCTGCCAGTGAAAATCCCATCAAAATAAGTCCAGCGTTTCAGAGATTGTACGGAAGTCGGAACAAACAGACATACAGAGAAAAATTACAAGTTGTGTTTTTCTTATAAGTACCATATTATATAAATTTCATATGCATTTAGTAGTAAAAAGGTGTTATTTTGACATAACTTCAATTTTATTTAGGTATCAGTTTAGATGAGAATTTATTAGTTTGATATAATAAGTAATCTTTCGTGTCTCCTTCACAATACGTCACACTGGCAGAATGTATTGCGTCTGTTAACGCATCTCTAAGCCATTAAAGAAAAAAAAAGTAATCTGTGATGAACTAGCACGCCTTGAAGCCAAGAAAATTGAATTAAGTTTAGTTTTACGTTATTACAAATAATAATCGTACTTAGTAGGTAGTGTTTATTTTTGTAAAGAAAAACACACTAAGTACATTTTAAGTATTACATCAACATCTTAAGTTGAAAGTTGAAGAAGAAGTAGAGTATTTATTCTTGTTATTAGATAATTTATCATAAGATCTCCCTTTATATTTGAGAAGACATTAAATTATGATAAATGTGTTGCTACAAAGAAAATAATATTATATTTTTGTCTTAGTGGAAGATAACGTGCTATCACATTTAGTGCGTCAACTGACTCCAGCGAAAATCGGTGGTTCAGTGGTACTTCGTTGTGAAGTGTCACCGCAGTTCGGGCTCGCCGATATTACGTGGCTTCAAGATGGTCTGCCTCTGTCCTCGAGTTATATGGGGGCTGGTAAGTTATTGTAATTGCTTACCGGACGCTATGTGCCATCTATAGATTTTCCATTAATACGCTCATCCGTTTTATATCTCAGCGAAAATATATTTGATAATTTATTATCTTGTCACCGAAAAAATATATATTTCGTCTGACTAAATAGATTAATATAATTTTTTGGTAGTTCCAATGTTATTCGACTATTCCAAAGACAACGACGCTTTTAATGTACTTATGCTGATGTAACCTCGACACCTAAAACTCCTTGCTTATAAAATAAAAAAAATATAAAAAAATAAGAATAATTGTTTCATTATTATTATTAATTATTTACAATATAACTAATAAGTTATATGTAAAGATTTCTTGGTCATAGTAAATTCATTGCATTTTTTTATATTATATAATTTCTTGTGCATACTTTAAATATATTTAACTTAATGAACATAAGCTTCATTAATATCTCAAATAATATATAAAAGTTATTTGAGATATAATTGTTAAATATTAGTGTATAAATGTAGTATTCACATGTTCTTGTTAACTGAGATATATACATACATAAAGTTTGCACAGTAACTAAATTGTAAATCGTAAGTTATATTCTAGAAACACGGTGGATATCCGGCGCGGGCGGGCTGTTACTTGGCTCGGACCTAACGCAGGCGGACGTACAAGCTGAATATTCGTGTTTGGCGCTCGACACGCCAAGCCCTACGCTTAAACTGACGACAGATGGTGTGTTTTAGTTTATTATATCAGATTTTTGCTTTCAGTTTCTAAGTAACAAAATGTTTGATATAAACGTAGGTTGTCTCAGCTTTTAGTAACATAAAGTTTATTTTAGTTGATATCCTTTCTTCGTCTGGACTTGAATTATGCCGACTTCAAAATTACTTTTAATCAGTCTGCGAATAAGGGTGAATTTTTCTTAAAATCGAATTGCCTCATTCAAAAAATTACCTCTTGGGACCAGGCACTTACAATCTCTACTTTAATAAAATAATGTGGTATATTGATTTACAATTGGCGAATATATGAGTATCGCATAAATACAATCAAAAAATTAAATTGAGTACCTTCTTTATTTTGAAGTCGGATTAAGTCGTAATACATACAGAAATATTTATTTCTTCTTTTAAATATATAAATGTACCAATTACTAAACAATTATTGTTAATTAAAATACATTAAAAATGTATATTATGATTATAAAATTTCGTTAAGTATGTAAAGCCATTAAAATGTTTTATTATTATTATTATTTAAAAATGTATTTGCTTATAATTGAAATACTTAAATATATTTTATAACTTCCTGTAAAATTTGCTTGGATAGAGGAAAACGTGTTATTATCGCTGATAGATTGCTTTAAAAATAGACACCTATGTTCCATTACCAAACATATGTTTTTTGCTGAAAGATCCAATAATAGAATATATTTTTTAGTAGTTATGAAAAATCATAACTACTCAAAAATCTATACATATAATAAAATTGTAACTAAGTCGAATCTGAAAATTAAATATTTTTTGGAAAATCTAATTGAAATGGACATTATTATCGATACAGAGTCCGAATCTACAGTTTTTAGATTTTTTGTCTGTCTGTCTGTCTGTCTGTCTGTCTGTTACCGCATCACGAGAAAATTACTTAACAGATTTTGATGAATTTGGTATGATGATAGTTATCCGCGTCAACATATAGGATACTTTTTACCGCGGGACAATATCTCATTTCTGAGAAAAATTACAAAAACTGCATTGTAAGAGTATACTAATATGTAAAACCTAAGAATTTGGTTTTTGATCATCTGAACGCGGGCGGGGCCGCGGGCAATGCTAGTATATTATAAAATCTGAAATATGAAACGTCTACAGGAATAAAAGATAAATCTAATGGAAAATAAATGCTTACTATTAAAACTGAACCGTAGCATATTAGTAGTGTATTGATGAAAATAACAGTAATTGTCCGTACTGCTTCCACTTTACAAGTATTCTCACGATCGTAACATTTTATCACGTGAAGAGCATATTACTTTTCAACTTTTGTTTTGTTGAACAGACAGCACTTGGCTTGAAAACATCGAAGTCAATTCAATAGAAGCTCGAGCTGGAGATACAGTTTTACTTCCGTGTATTTTAAGACATATCAATAAACATACTATAACGTAAGTTACTATAATGTAATATTTATAATATTTTAATTGAAATATTTTTGTATTATTCAAAATATATATATATATATATATATATATATATATAAAAGTATTATGTTGTATTTAATAATTATAATATAATATTCAATTTTTTTTTAATAAACAAAGGATACAATAAATTATTATAAAAAGTTTTACATCGTAAAACATATCATTACAAATATACAGTATAAAATTAAATCATCAGTTGGCAGCGACAGGAAGCAAACGGAGTGTGGGTATCTGCAGGAGAGGGGATCGTACGGGGAGGTACGCTTGTGTTGCCGAGTGTACGTACCCATCATGCTGTACGCTATGCGTGCTCGCCAGGAACGGAGTCATCTCACCGGGTTATAGTACGACTGGTCGTGTTTGAACCGCTAACAGTTACCGTTACACCAAATCCTTTGGTAAGTGTCAAGAATCCCCAGAAACGTCACAAGAGTTGCATGTTTTTCGGGAGTTTCTAAAGTTGGTGTTTTATTTTTCTTGCTTATATGTTAATAAAATAAGCGTTAGGCTATTGAAGAGACTGTTATTTTAATATTAATAATAATATAATCAAACGATTTGAGGTTTTATAATAAGTTAACGCTATACTATATTAATTACCTTATTATATATTATAGTAAATTTTAGAATGTGTTTTAGTAATAAAAACTAAATATTATAGATGTTGGGTACTGGAGGAACTGGTCATTTTAATTGCTCAGTACATGGTGGTAGAGGTGGTGGGGTCACACTTAGTTGGCAACATGAAGGTCGCCCTTTACATTCCCCGCAAGCTCGACTGGCCGTAGGTCCCGTTCGACCACATCATGTTGGCCTTTATCAGTGCACTGCATATGACCATTCGGATTCCGCTGTGGCTGGCGCCGAACTTGTTATAGCTGGTAATATTTTATAATTAATTAAATAATCATACATTGCTTATGTGGACGTATCATTATTTATCTTAATTAACTCAATTTAAAATTAAATTTCCTTATTAAAGTATGTTTCTGTTTGGAATAGCCAATATTACGCCATTTTTATTTCATTTATTTAAGTTTCCTCTATTCATACAAATAGTAGTTTCAACGAGTCCCGTTACTTTAAAGAAAAAATATTATGGTGCTTGGTTAATGCCACCTTCCATATATTTTTCATATAAGCTTTGTATGTATATGAATAAGAGCCTACGTTTCAGACAGACCGCCGAGGCTGATGTCAACGTTCAGTGAAGCAATAACACGGGTAGGTCAGACTATAGCGTTTAGATGTGCTGCTACCGGTATACCCTCACCTAGAATAATTTGGACGTTGGATGATAGACCTTTACCTTCTGCTCCTGAAAAGTAAGTATGAAATATTTTAGAAAGGAAAGTAAACAGAGACTATTTGAATATATTCAAACAATTTCGATAATATATTTTATTAATAAATAATTTAAAAATTAAATGTTGGTACGTACTTATAATTTCCTTATTTTACCCATAGCAGGTTTTTTTTTCAAATTAAAGACCATGATATTAAGTAATAATCAAATATTTATAATTGTTAGATAAATAATATAATCATATTCTTATGATTTTTAAAACAACTAGGTATAGTGTAAATACTAGAGCTGAAACGTTAAATGGAGGTGATGAAGGAACAATAGTATCTACTCTGAGTATAACGATCAGGAGTGCAGATGAGGGAGGCCGGTACGGTTGCAATGCTACTAATACGGGTGGCTCTCATGCGCACCATGCAAGATTAAACGTTTTCGGTGAATATTCTCATGTAAAACTCATAAACAATTTTTTGTAGTACATTTAGAAAATATAATTAAAATAAAAAAAATAGTTCCAGGATAAAATAATTTAAATGATTAATAATGTTTAATGAATATAACATAATAAAGTTATGAAATTTTTCTAGGACCTCCAAATATAAGATATTTACCACCAATTCATGTGAAGACAGATATAGATGTGACAATTTACTGTCCTTATTCAGGATATCCCTTAAAGTAAGTTAAACTTACTTATTATTTAGACGTATAATATTTAAAAAAATCATAATATTCAGATGATAATTAAAAAACAAATTAAACGTAGAAAATATATTTTAAGCATTCAATAATGTAAATTTTAGGGAAGTAGTTTGGAAACGTGAAGACGGTTCACTAATAGAGTCGCCTCTAGAAAGCAACGATGAACGCGGTATGTTGAGACTGACGGCAATCAGAAGCGCTATAGCGGGAAGTTACACTTGCGAAGTGAGGGCCGAGAGTGGGGAACTCGCAAGACGAACTGTTAGAATAGAAGTACATAGTAAGAAATTTTTATTTATGCTTAACATGAACAAGACTTACAATATACATCCTTCTTTCTGGCTATTATTTATACTATAAATAAATAAAAAATATATCTGTATTTCGTCTTATCAAAATCTCTTAAAGTGCATTTTTCTCACAGAACCCCCAAAAATAGCGCCATTTCAATTCCCTGAAGAGCTCGAAGTCGGAGGTAGCACACAAGCTACTTGCAGTTTAGTTTCAGGAGACAAGCCAATACAATTCTCTTGGTTAAAGGACAACTTACCAATCCCTTCTACTCTAAAGGTATGTTTTATATTTAATTAATTTCAGGGTTTATATCATAATATAATTAAATCTTTTGTCATTGGAGCAACAATATCTATTTTTTTTAGGTGGAACAGAAAAATATGGATTTTTTTACAATATTAGTAATTCAAGATTTGAACTCGATGCATAGCGGCGAATACTCTTGCAAAGCGACTAACGATTTTGGAACTGTCAGTCATAGCGCTTCTTTAATTGTTAAAGGTATTTATTTACAGTGTATATTTTGTCAATATTTTATAATAAAAATTTTATTTATTTATTTGATATTTTTTTATAAATATTTTTTATGGTATACGCACATACACAAACGTACATCGAAAATTTTAAAAAGACAAATTACAAAGAAAAACATAATACTTTCTTAGATTTACGCGAATATTTTACATTTTAAAATAAAACTATCTTTTATTATCTATGGGAGAGACCCGTGACCACAATTGCTGTAAAGTATTCGAAACGTCGTGAACCACAAATCTAAATAAATCTGCGAAATAATCTAAAAATATAGTTTGCTTAAAAAGAATAACGTGTATGATGCAATCATAGACACTTAACAACAGCTCTGAATAGCATAATAAATAAAGCAGTCTCTCCGCACAGAGACTCCCACGTGGGTGTGGCGTCCTCAGAACACGTCGGTGTCGGCCGGCGCCGCCGTACTGCTGCCTTGCTCAGCCAAGGGCCAACCCATGCCCAGGATATCGTGGGAATTTTCTACAGGTAACCTTACAGGTTTTAGCAAATGTTTTATTGAAAGAAATCAGTTTTATATTTGAGATTTCATCTTTATAATAGATTGTTAATATAGATGGAAGTTCACTGCAGATTATAAACTTTTCGGTCCCAAGTTATTAATTTCAATTACCTTTTTATAATCATTATAAAATTAATATATTAACAACAAGCCAGTATCTGCTACTTAGCAACGTAAAAATATACCATTAATCGTTTTTTTTATCGTATCATTTTTTTAATAAAAATAATGTTTAAACGTATCGATTCGCAGTACAATGCAATAAGCTAATAAATCCATGCACTCCCATATACGATAGAAGGTGAGAACTGGCGACATATACTATGGGGACAGTCAGATGCAGTGGACAGCGAGGGTTCCATCTTGTCGGATGGTACTGTATGGCTGCGTGCCGCCTCGCCCGAGCACGAGGGCTGGTACCGTTGTACTGCTAGAGTTCAACACTCTGTCCTTCATCATTCATTCTTTCTCGATATAAGAGGTAAGCCAACAATATTTAAACCACTAATAAAGTTTGAGTTTAATATTTTCAGTAAGTTAAAATTATATGGAACATGCTCGTTATTTTTTAGACGGACTCATTTAATTTTTTATTAATAATTCAAATAGAAAAGACTACTTCCCGCGCGTGTTGATAAAATAAACTTATTTTGATATCACTAGCCAAATTTTATTTAAAGTCTTTATAATAGTTATAATCAACTATTGTTTCGTACAATCCATATTATATTTCATAATAATTCAATTTAAATAATTTTAATTTAGAATTAAATAGATATATTTTGAATTGCTTCAAATATTCTAATTCAAATATTAATATTATATATCAATGGTAATAGGTGTTACATTGTCTATGTAAATTTTACATACCACTAACCAAATTTTATGTACATATATTCTTGTATACCTTTATTAACACCTCCAGGTAAATTTCTAAGAAAATAAATTAATTTTCTAAGAAATCTATTGTTAATTGACACGCCGGCGTGTCCGCGGTCGTGGAGGGATTAAAAGTAATCGTATGGATAAAAAAATTATTTGTGTGTATTTTAAAATTAAAAATAATAGTTCTTTTTTTGTAAAGAACCGCCAAAATTGACAAGAGGAGGTGGGTCTGGCGAGACTCGATGGGTGGTGCGAGGATCTGTCGCTCGTCTCACGTGTACCGTGCGAGGCGAACCTGAAATACATGTCCATTGGACCCATGATTCCAGACCTTTGGCTTTACAGTAAGTTATTGTATTGTGCATGGCTGATTTTCCTTTCCACTAACCTTTTAGTGAAAAATATTGATTAATCGCGTTTTTATGCTTGGGAGATCTCCTTGTAAAACTATCTAATATATTTGTAAAATATCTAATATATAATATCATTTTAGGTAAAGTAAGTATTGTAGGTAAGTAGTAATTATAATAGTTTCTTTTGTCTATCTTTCTTCTTTTATTTCTATAAAATCTTTTATAAAGAAACAAAATACACAAGTTGTATTAATTAATTATGTACCATTATCTATAAAAACAGCAAAAAATCACGTTTGTTGTATGGGAGCCCCTTTAAATATTTATTTTACTCTGTTTTTTTTTGTATTTGTTGTTATAGCGGCAACAGAAATACATCATCTGTGAAAATTTCAACTGTTTAACTATCACGGTTTATGAGATACAGCCTAATTACAGACGGACAGACAGACGGATGGACAGCGGAGTCTTAGTAATAGGGTCCCGTTTTACCTTTTGGGTACGGAACCCTAATAAACTATTCTAAAATACTCTGTTGTGAACGCAGAACCCGAACCATACTCGAAACGCGCGGTTTCTCGATAACCAATCACAGCGCGAGGACCTTGGGCCCCCATCAACTCCTGGCATACCTCGATAAGCTATCTTTCTCGCACCTATGGCTACGCATAAGACTTTTTTGTAGTACTCATTTGTAACTTTATTTACGTCTGGGAATGGTTTCAAACCGGTAAATTCGTCTGGCGATTTACAAGTATTATTGAAAATTACTCAATATATACGTGATTTAAATTTCTGATTGGCAAAAGTATATTTTTGGGAATTTTAATAAAGTATCTTTGGAGAGGTCTGGCAATAATTTATAACCGACAAAAACGACTGGGGTTCTTTTTATTGAATTATATGAAAACTAAATTAAAAGGTTAAAAAAAAATCGAGTTTCCAAAAATATGTTTTTTTGGATATTTTTGTTGCAAATGTTATATACTGCGCATTAACGAAATAACTGCTAACGCTGTACCAAACTCGCGGGACTGCACTCGCCAATTCACGAATTTATATATTTCAACTTGTCAAAAGGACCTTCCCAAAATTCGTCTGCCCTCGGAATAGATAGACAGACAAAACTTCTAAAAACGATTGATTCGGTCACTGTATAGAAAATAATGTTTATTTTAATAAAATTTTCCAAAAATTATTTAATGTACAGTATCGGCTTAGTTATAATTTTATTATACTATATGTATGGGTAATAGTCGCAAGCGAAGCCGCAGAAAGTAGCGAATATGTATAAAATATAATAGAAATAGAAATATGACGTTTTGACGTATTATAAGCTTGCAGCGATGATGTATATGATGATGATGATTAGCTCTGCTTGGTGCGTGTAGAACAATGTTAGCTTGTCGGTTTTTAGTGAATTCATTGATGTGTACATATATTTATATATAACAATATATATATATATATATATATATATATATATATATATATATATATATATATATATATATATATATATTGTTAAATTAGAATTAGGGCTTTGTAAATTTTCTAAGAAAATGTTGTTAAGCAAGGGATGTTTAGGGTAATATAATAACCATCTCAATAGTTTATTAAATATTTTGTAGTCTATTATTCATCAATCACCGCATAACTTAAGTTTTTTTAAATGTTTAATGTCTCGGAAAATTCCAGTCCAATTTTTAAAGTTAGCAAGCAAAAAAATTTTTTTGCTGCCTCTTTATCTAAAATGCATTACGAAGGAAATGAAGCCTTGTACTTGTACTTTCCATTTTTTTTTAATAATAATAAACTCACGACAATCTATACTGCTGACCTGCAACAATTATTCACTATACGCCAAGCGCTTTGTTGAGAAGATTAAAGGCTATTACTTAGTTTACGCTAATTAGATAAATCGAGGATAAACAGCTTGCATCTATGTAGTTTAAATAATGAAAGGGTTCTTGTATTAGGTTCAATTTTATTACTAATAGAAACCTATGACTAATACCAGGTCATTGTTTATCTATGTACTAAATTTCTCCAAAATTCGTCTATTCGTTTCAGATTCAATCTGTAACAAACATACACACATACAAACTTTCATATTTATAATAGTAGTGTGATTCCTAAATTTTTTGACTTTAAATTTTACTAAACTTAAGTAGGTAATGTTAATAGATGCTTCTTAAGGAAGAACTAATCTTAAATCGCGTCGTTTCACTCATGTGAGTAGTACCGTGACTAATTCCTCTTAAATTCAAATAAGGAGTTATGTTTTAAACAATTTGGAAATAATTTGATCAGAATTAGCCAATTAATTGAATAAACTTGCTTATTTATATTATGAGGTTATTATAATAATATAATCAAATTATCATAGAATCAAAGCTGTACACAGAAGTTTATAATATTTTAGGATACAATAGATACCATAATATGTTTGTCTGCTAAATCGTGCGTTACATATAACGGCTGGGTGATTTTTGATAGAATTTTTTTGTTATATATGTAACAACTAAGTGTCGTTTTATGTTTTCATTCCATAGCTTGTAGCCGCGATCAGATCTAAAGATACAGATCATGGAGAAAGTGGACATAAGCTATCTTTTATTCTACTTACTATACGAGCGGAACCGCAGGCAAAAATAGTTACAAATAAAAGGCTATGACGATGTTAGGCTTTATAATTTACAAGTGTTGCGCTACTCGTTCTACTCGTAATGAACAAATTTATCAGAAATTCGATGAAACTAATTTATGACTTTAGTACGGAAACTGGTTATTTATGAGCGGAGAAGAGAACACAGAGGGGCTGTACGATACTGAATCTATCATAAATACAATGATTAGGAAAGTATAGAATTTTCGAGTGAAATAATCCTTTAATGAGAAATTTAATAATAAAAAATTTCATAGTTTCAAGTTCATATTAGTTATATGAAGCTTTGGGTTTACTTTATGTAACATTACAAATATATTACTTTTTGGAATATTCCCCAAGACTCTCAACTCGGGTCTCTTCTTTTTAATATGTTTATTAATAAAATTCATTTGATATTTAAATATTCTGAAGTTTTATTATATAACTAGCACTGCCCGCGGCTCCGCCCGCGTTTAGATGACTAAAGGTTTAAAGTCTTAGGTTTTACATATTAGTATACTCTTACAATGCAGTTTATGTATTTTTTCTCAGAAATGAGATATTTTCCCGCGGTAAAAAGTATCCTATACGTTGACCCGGATAACCAGCTATCATCATATCAAATTTCATTAAAATCTGCTCAGTGGTTTTCTCGTGATGCGGTAACAGACAGACAGACTGACAAAAATTCTAAAAACTATATATTCAGACTCTGTATCGATAATAATATCTATTTCAATTAAATTTTCCAAAAAAATAATAATGTACAGATTCGACTTAGTTACAATTTTATTATATGTATAGACTAACTAACAACATGAAGATCTTCAGGGCTGTCAACAAATCCGATGATTGTTATTACGAAGTGATCTTGCTTATTCTTAATATAAAAGAAATGTAATATCTTAAGTTTTTCATGCATAACCATCATTGTCAAATACGATCACACTTTGAATAACAATTTATTTAAACTTACTACCGACGTGAGAGATGTGGGTGTCGATCTTGATCCTAAGCTCACTTTTTCTAGCCATATTGAGCACATTGATAGCATGGCACATTGCATGCTTGGCTTTGTATATTATTAAACGGAGTGTCTGTTCGTCCTTTGATAGGACCCCATAGTAGAAATTTACGAGTACCTGCCAAATTTCAAGTTAATAGCATTTATACTTTCTGAGATTTCTTGATAAATCAGTGAATGGTGTTTCGTAAAAATGAGTATATTAATAATCCTTCATTCAGCTAAATGGCTTCATTATTGGTTATTTGTACAAGTCCCCGGCAATGGCTAGGCTTAATATGTCGAGCCTGTCACATGGCAGGAATGAACTAATTCGCTGCTAATCTGATGAATCCTGGTTTGTTTGTTGCGTAAATTCGCTACCAAGCTCTTTATCATCCGGTTTAACCTATCAGAATTCGCTACTTTACGCTATAATGTCACCAGAAAATATGTAATAATTTTGAAATGATAACGCATCATAGAAATTTTTTAAATAAGATGAGATTCTATAAGTGAGTATGAAAAAGTGTCGAAAAAAATATGGGATGCTATATTACGATTATTTGATAACGTGTGTTCAAATGCAAAGTCAATTTCGTACAATTTTTGAACTTTCTACTAGTAAGCGTAAGCTATTGCGTAACGTCATCTTGTCTATGCCCGATGTTTCAGTAAGTTTATTTTCTTTATCCCATAAATATACATCTGATTGTACCATTATCATATAATTTTGTTAGCCAGCACACTTATTGTGATGTAATTTTTTACATTTTACCACACACTTTATGATAGTAACTTTAAACCTATATGAATAAGAATTTGAGGTATTGTAATTTTCAAAATATTTTAAAATTTTAATATTACCTATTGTCTATAAAAAAGACTCACAAAACAAAAGCCTTATCTTTTAATTCAATAATTAACGAAAGATAATTTTAACTGAAACTGTCTGCCTATAATATATGTATACATTAGCTAAACACAAACTGTGCATGTTTTATCGCAGTGGCTCAGGTGGCGTAGAGATGCGGGACTTAGGCAATGGGGCCATGACTTCAGAAATAACGATCTCGCATGCAGGTCCTGAACACGCGGGCGATTACCGTTGTATGGCGAGGAATTTGTATGGTAGCGACGAATTAATGTTTCGACTGTTTGTTAAAGGTAATTGATTATTTTTATTATTTAACTAAAAACTCTAAAACAAATTAATTATTTCGAATTCGGATCTTGACTTGAAATATTATAATTTATATGTACTTCTACCAAGCCTGTTTATAACATAAACAAGTACAATGAAAAACAGTTCTCGATTGATTAAAATACGAACAAAATAAAATAAAAACAAATAAATAACAAATTCAACCCTCCTTTCAGAAAATTATTATAATGCTTAAAAGAATGAAATTATTTGTAAATAGGATAATTCAATTATCTCTTCTGTTCTTGTCTATTTACTGAGATAAATATTTACGTTGTCACTTCAAACATTGATAAGGATTTATAAGCTAATCTGCTTTGTTGTTTTACTTTAAACCACTAAATTTACCTCTACAGTTATTTATTAACAAATATTGAGCGTTGCCCTCAGGCTTTGATCTGAGTTGATCCTTTTTTTGATTAATAAAGTATGTATATAGAAATTTCTGCACATCGTACTTATTACTAACTACAGGTAAAATAATAAAATCATATTATTTGTCAAAAGAACGCCCAAGCACGCCAGAAGAGATGCGAATATCAGAGGTGTGGTCTCGCAAAGCGCGTGTGACCTGGCGAGTGGCGCGTGGCGCGTTCGTGTCGCACTACTCCCTACAATACAGGCCCCTGACGCGCGATCTCACTAACGCCCCGCTTAACGCGCCGCTACCCGCTCTACTAGACACTTGGGACTCAGCTGATGTTATGAACATAACTTTAGCAAATTCTGATTTGCTGCATGTTGCGTAAGTATTAATATCTAATATTGGAACTTAGATAAAATATCATTCTATAATGTTTGAAGAATAAACATCTAAAAAATACTTATATGGGAATGATTTGTTTTTATGAAATTTTTAGGTAATGATTCAAATTCTAAATTCAATATTATTTTGAAAATGTCTATTACTTAATGATTACAGAATAACATTTTGCTAAGTTCTAATTATCATTTTTATATTAAATAGCAATTACAAATTTATATCTTTTACGAAAATATTTTGTTTGGTGTGTTAGTGGTTGGAATATTTTGGCCACATATTTACTTTACCATATCTTTTATATGTAACAGGTAGGTATATGTATGTATTTATATATAAGTAGGTATAACACGTTAGATTATTCTTGTTAAAAATCCCTAGGAAGCAAAAAAAAAGAGCATAGACCAAACGTTGTTAGTTCATTGAAGCGAAAAAAGTACTTACTAAATTACTTATTATACTGCGAATGCAGAGATTGATAATTTTTGTTTTTTTGATTTACATTGAATATAAGTTTATTGCATTCAATATTAGTTATATTGAAATAGGTAAAGTATATGTAAATTATGTTTTATGTTTTATTTGATAATATGTACATATGTATGTATGTACATATGTGATTTTTGGGTTAACAAGTTTTTTTGCGTTTTTATTTTTGTTTAAGTTAATAATTTTTTTTTTTACACACACAGCACCATCTAGTTCCATGATAAGCTACGAGGCTTGTGTTATGGATACCAGATAGTTGATACACTACACATATATAACTTTAAATACATACATATTATAAATATAAACACCCATGACTGAAGTTTTGAACATTCATGCTCATCACACAAATGAATGCCCCCAGCGGGACTCGAACTCGCGACCGCTGGCACAGAAAGTAGGTTCACTACAAACTGAGCCAAACGTGTCGTCAATAATTAAAACTGGAAACAATATACCAATCAGAGCTAAAATTCAAATATCATTCGCCTTTACATTTATTACCTAACATTTATTACTCGATAGTAGTACCTAACTCTGCAGAATAGTATAAACTCACTCTAAAATCTGAACTTAATATTAGCTAACTCGAAATTGCTCCATGATGCTGAAGTGTATTCAGGATTTGTATTATCAACTTGTAATCGATAAGTTCCGCTTTAGAGAGAATCGGATATTCCGATACATTAAATACTCTCAAAGTTATTTGATGCCAACTGATACTAATGAATCCTTATTTGACACTAGCAACTCACCCTTGCTCCGCTCGTGTTCGTCCTTAGTTACCTTTTAACGTTTAATATAGATTTCTCAGAGATGAGATATTTTACCGCAGTAAAATGTATCCTATATGTTGACCCGGATAATCAGCTATCATTATACCAAACTTCATCAAAATCTGCCCTGTGATTTTCTCGTGATGCGTTCCCAGACAGACAAACAAAAATTCTAAAGATGGTAGATAGGTTAGATAGGCCTAGCCCCTGTATCGATAATAATGACTATTTCAATTAGATTTTCTAAAAAATATTTAATTTACAGATTCGGCTCAGTTACAATTTTATTATATGTATGGATAATAAATATAACTATTATATATAATGCAATATACATTATTGTTTTCTCTTTCTTTCACACAGTCGCATAGCGACTCCTTAGGTGCTTATAAGTAGTATATGTTACCCCATGTCATAAGCAATCTGTGTACTAAAACATCATCCAAATCAATCCAGCAGTTACACATATAAACCTTATACATTTATAATAGTAATTATAATAGTGATCCGATTTTACCTATAGTTATGAGTTTCTATTTAAAAAAGTTGTTAAACTTAGAAACAAATATCCTTTTGCGTATAGCAGAGTAGCTGAGCGTTGTTTGTTTTTGTACTTTCATGCGGGCTCATTTACCTCTCTACGAAAGCGGTCAATGGATGCTCTACTTTTTGTGTAATTAAATTAGAAATTTTTATTTATATTAACTTTTAATGAACTTTATAATGTTTAAAAATATGGTTTACTTTTAAAGTCATTAAATATTCTGAACAAAAAAAAACCAGCCTATTTAAATAAAATCAACGAAATATTTTTTTCCTAATGAAACAACTTTCTTTCTATTTTGTTATACGAAGAAAATTCACTTATTATTACCCATATTCGTATTAAAATATAATAAACTTAATTTTTAACTCGATGCTACATATTTTGTAGCGATATTTTAAAATGTAGCTTTAAAATTTCTTTTTAAACGGTCATTTTTGAGTTTTATATGAACTCGTTTACCTCAGTGAATACGATGGAACTAAATCGACGCCCGGCTCTGTATTTTGCCAAATGACAGTGCGATAGAGATTGAGTTGTTAAAGTGCTTTGAACTGTGTGAATCTGTACTGGCTTAGTTCCAATATTGATAAATTATGAAAAGCCTTATTTCTGCTTATTATTGCATTCCAGGGAAATAATGACTGACTAATATTTAATTAAATTTATAATGTTACACACTAAATATAAAGTGATTAGTGGTTAGCCAACAAAAAAAATATAAATAATTTTGATATAAAACGTGTGTATTTATATTTATGAACATTTCTATATTTTTATAAAAACATAAAAAAAAAACTCTTTAATAAAATGAAAAATATGTAGAAACATCCTGTCTAATTCTTACATCCATTGCAAGTCGTTTTAGTGAGCTTATTTACATAAGAAACACCTTTAAAAATATAAAAAATTCGAGAGTTTTATTAAGCGTTCGCCTCACAAATGTGGGGTTACTCTCGGCTTTCAGCTAGAACTCGTTAAAATACTCCACTCTAGCTAATTCCGAATTGCTTCATGTCGCGAAAATTTATAGAGCATCGTGAATTTGGAGTGCACTTTTAATTTTGTTTCAGTCAGTGTATATGATGACGGCCAACACTTACTGCGCTATAAAAACTATTAATGGGTGGATATTTTTATACGTTTATTTTTAACCAAATATAAAAAATATTGAGAGATTACCTACTAGATTATTAAAAATTGTTAATATATCAACCAATTTGTTCAGCCAGCCAATTTTGACGATACGTTTAGCTCAATTCGTAGTGAGCGTACTTTCTGTGCCAGCGGTCGGAGGTTCGAGCCTGCTGGGGGCATTCATTTGTGTAATAAGCACGATGTTTGTACTTTAGTCATGGGTACTTATATTTATAATATGTATGTCTATGTATATAAACTTATATGTATATGTATAGTGTAACAACTGTCTGGTATCCATAAAACAAGCCTCGTAGCTTACCATGGAACTAGATGGTGCTGTATGTTAATATCCTAACATATTTATTTATTATTTAATATTTTATTTATGAAAAATAATTTTGTATTGTTACATATATTCTTACAAAATCTGGCTTAATTATATAAAAATCTTTTCTTCTTGTCTGTTTTGCCATAGCATTTTCTATCATGAAAAAATATTTCAAATAACTTATAGTTCGCAGCACTATCAAGTATCTAAATGAGACGATTTGCCTTTAAAGTGCATCTCTGACCAGCCAATTATTTTCTTCCACTCTTACAATTATTCTATTGGCTAAATCTAGAGAACATTTGAACCTTATTTACTTCTTGTTATCCGTTATACAAATTCTTACGTAAACACTCGTATAATACTTAATACTTTTTAAGATTTACGTGAATATTTGACAATTTTAAATGAAAATATCTCTTCGGATTTTGTCGAGGTTTTATTTTACATTGTCAACGGGACCACCACATCGCCACTGGAGAGACTCGCCATGCTTGATGTAAAGCATTCGGAACGTTGGGTAAAAGAATATAAAATAAAACTGCGACAAAATCTGAAAAGATAGTTTTACTTTAATATCTTCAATTCTCTTATTAATGGCTTCAAAACGTGATATACTTTGCAAATAAAACTTTTGTAAATGTACATTGGCATTCAAAATCGAACTTTTTTTCAGATAAATGAAACCTTTTGCCATTTTTTTTTATTATTTGCGAATTTAATATATAATTATCCTTCAAATAGCTTACATATTAGTTAAATAAAATCGTTTCACAGTTAACGAAGATGTTACGTAACACAAAAAAAACACATTCAAATTGAGTACATTTTACTGAAATCGGTCAAAGACCAAAAGCTTTCAAATAACATTATTTACATATAAATTTTATATTCATAGTACTGAAGGGCCAAGTCGTGCGGGTGCATCAATATCTGGGCTGTCTCCTGACACACGATATGTGCTTCGATTGGCCGCATTTAATGACGTCGGTGCTTCACCTTATACTCCGCCATTGCATTTTACTACACGCGAAGAAGGTAAGATGTATATATATCTTGATTAATATATCTATTTATGTCATATATAAATATATAAATATGTAAATGTAAATATAATATAAATATCTAATAATAATATGATATCTGTCTGTGGCTTTATAAAAAATGTGTTCATTTATTATGCAGAATTACCGAAGTAATTACTTTTTTATAGATATAACAGTTAGCCGTTTCTTCAACATTTAAACTTTCTTATCTTAATAGAGGTAAAGTAGTTAAAATGGATTCTGCGAAGTTTTTTAGTTTCTTCAGATTACATATTTTAATTACAATATTAGCCTTTTTGCTAATGAGTGCAACCGTTTTTTTTATAGAGGGACTTATGCCCGATTTGACCAACGTCACCTAAGTTTAAGGGATCCCCTAAGCATGGTTAGGGGGCTGTTAGGGGACAGTTTCTGTTTCACCGACAGTTAGGGGTTACCTAAATGTTAAAAGGCCCCCTAAATTTAGATGCTCCAAATATGGGCTTAAAGACGATGGTAAAACGAAATTTAATTTAGGGGCTAGTTTAGGGGAATTTTAAGCTAGGGATCCCATACGTATTGATATATTCTGAAGCAAAACATTCTTAATCTTATTTGAGTTTAATATACCTGAAATTTATATATGACAAAAGCGCCCGGAGGTGTACCGCGTGACATCACAGTACGAGCACTTCGCGCTCGAGAGCTTCAAGTTACATGGCAGGTGAGTCTAACACCGCTAGATGTGAGAGATTATGCAAATACCTCAAAGGAAACTACATTGTTGAATGTTGGTTTTGTATTTAATGTTCCCATTCGTACTCTTTGGACTCTTTTGGACTACCTTTTAGGTCTTTGTGTTTATGTATTGTTAGATTTTTTAAATCATAGATTATTATTTTTTTTCTCTTAAATGGCTATAATTAAATATTTTACTTAGTATTGTACATCATTCTTATGATAGTAAAAACTTTTTAATGATAGTAAGTTAATATTTAAAACAAATGTTTTAGCACTTTGTTATTCGTATGACATGTAAAATAGAAATATTACAAAGAAGAAAAAAAAATACATCTATAATAACGTATTGTAAAAGAGAACAAAATGAAATGAGAAATATTATCACTTCCAGAAGCAAAGCCACCAGCAACTGCTAAACAAAAACAACACCTTTTGTTTGCCAAGTTATATAAATGTGAAAAAAATGTTTGAATCCTTATTTTTTTAACTTTCGGTAAAGTTTTAGTTTTAATTAAAATAGTTTTTTCAAGTTGGTTTAAAAATATACACTATTCATCGAGATAGCAAGCTGTGAGTTTTTAACTGGAAATGTGGATTAACTTTGAACGCTCATATTTTCATTTTTTTCATTTTATCGTTAAAACTAAAGCTATATTTATGAAAAACTCATATATGTAAAGTATTTTAGTAAAACAATGATTATTTAAAAATATATTATTAAGTTAGTCGATATTTCTAAGGTAAAACTTTTATATTTACACTAACGACATACCCTCACTTCGCTCAGGTGCCTAAGTCTTACCTAGTCTAATCTACGTGCTATTCCAGTGTACGAAATTCCATTCAAATTTGTCGAGCCATTTCAGCGTGACAGATTAACCAACATACACGCATATATAAACATAATATTTAATTTTTCGCATTTATGTAATAAAACCGATAGTCCGATTTTAAAACATAAATTCATTAGCAACCACCACGTGAATCTTGGCACGGGACGCTCTTGGGATACACAATACGGTGGTGGGAGGCGTCTGAAGAAGGGAAGACTAGCGAAGCAGGGTCAGAGAGCGGGGCGAGCGCGGACGCAACAAGTACTACGTTGAGAGGCTTAAAGGCTGCTACGAGATATGGTGTCACTGTAAGAACATACAATGCCGCTGGCACAGGACCATTTTCGCCACCCCATTATAGGCACACTTTGGAATCACGTACGTACTTATAGATTAACAGATTAAGTTAGTAGATATATGAATGTTGCAGTGGTGTAAAAACGCATTTAATACTTTAAAGAAATTATACGACGTCTCATTGTTAGAAGTTTCAAAATAAGAATTTTTAATCATTTATTATTGAGAATACACTTTGTTGTTGAAACTTTTCATATAAAGATAAAAGAGCAATTTAGATTATCAGATACTGTAATGTTCTTATAAATAAGTATAACATTTACGAATTCTGTCCCAAAAAGTTGAACAAACTTTTAATGGGAACGGGAAAAAACGACCGTAGGAAACAAGACTTATTTGAATATGTAAATATGAAGAACGAGTGTGTACTTTAGAAGTCCAATAAAGGCGAAGTTGTAGCGGCACTCATAAGTTTTGTCGCCGCCGGAATATATTCACGCCGCCACACCAAAGCGGCTATCGTAAATTTTCCCATCAAAATGCAAAATGGCTTAATTGAACCGTGGCCTTTTCGATCCAGGTCAAACGGATCGGAACAAATTGATAGCACTTTTATACGATTTTATCTGAATTTTTATTGTTATTTTACATTTGGGATTTCGATATCTAAAAATGTTAGTGGTTCATCATTGCATGTTACTTTTTCATAGCCAGCGGGCTTAGTCCTATACTGAAACGAAATAATATTTTTATCTCGAGGTTGTTTGTATAATAAATATACTCTTTGTAAATTTCCAATTATTTTTTTTATTTTGAATATAATTTTTAAATGAGCGTCGAATCATTGCTTATTATTTACTAAGTATTACTACTTAGTAAATATTACTAATATAAGTGTTATATTGGCTATGTACATATTCGTTTCAGTTAAGACAACGAGCGTGTTGTATTTCATTACATAAAGTGTGTGTTGAAAGAATACTCACAATCTTACTAATTCATAAATCTTTCCTTTTATTAATATTAGAGTAGATAGCTTTATCGTAGGACGAAATCGTGAATCATAAAAAAAATATTTTCTCAGTATACGTGTATATGTCATTACTGGTTAATATAACTAAGTATGTTTGAAAAAGCTAAAAATCGTCAATTTCGAAATACTGCAAACTTTAGTAGTCTGAGTATTAAAAGGAGTTAAAATGTTCTGTTTAATTACTTTGTAACGTACAATTCTCATGCTAAAAGTTTACTGAAGCATTAAGTAACTACTGGAAGTGGTGTTGGCGCCGCCGTCCTTAACTCTTTTATACGAATTTCATACAAAAGGCTCACTGTGATTTTTTTACGTAAACGACCTCGCCAGAAATAACGAGAACCAAGTAAATTATGCTTTACACAATAACCGAGATTTAAGAACTGCAGCTGGGGAAGGTCTTTAGAAAAATTGTATATACTTACAATAAATAAACTTTGGCAGAAAGTTTAAAAATAAAATTTAACTAGAATTACAAAATAATGCTAATGCAGTATTAAATTTTAAAATACTTCTCTGAACGTTTGATGACTTTATTTTTTGACAACTTATTTTAGCGCCAACCGCCGGACCTGAAGACCTGTCTTGCATATCGAGTGGTTCCACATCATTGCGAGTGTCATGGCGTCCTCCAAACATAGACGCGCGAGGAGGACAAATAACACACTATACTTTGCAATATACGAAACGAGATTCAGATCCATTACAACCAACACAAGATGCACATTTACGGGTTCAAGTATGGCTTATTCCATTATATACATATATTAAAAAAAAACAAGACTTTAAAAAGAATATATAATTCGGTTGTATATTATGCGGCATTTGCTGATTGTAATTCGGTTTTGCGTACTTTTTTCAATGAAAGTTTATACCTTAAAGATTGTGTATATATGTATGTACATTTCCAACGATCATTTAAATAAATTTAAAAAAAATCCCCCAGGAAAGAATAATTAGTTATTTTTAAGACATTTTGAAATCGATGTACCTTTCTTATTAATAAGTAACTATAGTAAAAGTTATTGTAACTAGGATATTTCATAGGGTGAAGAAACAACGGTATCCCGCTTAACATCTTATGCTGAGTACGAGATTAGAGTGAGAGCACACAATGCTGCGGGCGATGGGCCGCTATCAGCACCTCAAGTGTGCAAGACTGATGAAGACGGTTCGTATCTTTTTCTTTTTTTAAATTTTAGATTAAAATATGAGTTTTATCTATCTTGTTTTAATAATTTAAATTTTATAATGAAAATGAAGCTTGAAAAAGTTTAATGTTTTCAGGCTTTATTTGTAAAAACCAAAAATTCATTGATTATAACTTAGAAGGACCTTTTATTATATTTTAATTAAATGAGTCGAATTTGCTAATTATGAATGCATATTATATTTATTATAAACCAGTAATATGTCCGTTGTCGTTTCGCTCGGCTGCGCCCTTGGGTGCCTAACAGTAACTTATATGTTACTCCAGCTTATATTTAATATACATATTATTTTTTCTGGGTGGACTAACTTTCATGGGTCTGCAGAACAATTTACCAAAGTTTCGTCACAATCGGATGAGTGGCTTAGGACCGGAAGGACAAATATACAAAGAAATATTATTTTTTATTAATATGGATTAAAATTTAAACGGTTCTGTGGTTGGTATAGTACCAAGTTCTCCTGGCGGTATGAAGCTGATCGCGCTAAGCGAGCGCTCGTTACGCGCGTCATGGCTCCCTCCGCTAGAGCCTAACGGGCGACTTACTCATTACTCACTGTATGTGAAAGACTTATCAGGGTAAGTTAATTTTATTATATGCCTTTGTAAATGAAAATGATTACTAAGAATGTTTTTTTTTAATTTTACTTGAGTATAAATAAATATGTTGGGACATTAACACAGCACTATCTAGTTCCATGGTAAGCTACAAGGAATGTCTTATGAATACCAGATAGTTGATGCACTACACATATATAACTTTAAATACATACATATTATAGTGCAAACATTCGTGTTCATTACACAAATGAATGCTCCGAGTGGGACTCGAACCCGCGACCACTACAAACTGAGCCAAACGTGATATTATGGCTTACGTTTTTTACTATCATAAAAACTTAATATGATTAGCAATTATAAATATTTGTAATTCTTTTCTTTAATCTAAATATATAAATTATACCGTGATAGGTAACTAACATGTATTTAACTTTTATAATCCGCCTGAACAACTGTAAACCATCGATTCATTATTCAGATAACTAGAATATTAATACTGGCTTTTGTCAGGCGTATTGTTGTTAAACCGCCATTTTCTCAATTAAACTGACCTATTTGGTGCTATAAAAGGGATGTAATTAATAATTACTCTACGTGTTGACAACGCACAATATTTTACATAAGGCTTTAATTATTTATTACCTATTACTAATGTTAACGTGAAATATAATGAGACTTCTATGGAGTTTATATTTAAACTAGTTTTCACCCGTGGCTTCGCTCTCGTGGTACGTCGATGAATTCTATATATTCACAACATAAGCTATCTCCATTCCGATTTCACCTTGAAGTAGTAACACACACTTACAATCTTTTGCATTTATAATATCAATGGGACTACTCTAAGTGAAATAGCGTTTATATTTACTACATCACTCAAACGAGATAATTATTGTTAAAAGATATAGCTAAATTGTTTAAAATCTGCATATAGGTATATCCTTAAGAAAAATCTGGGTGTGTTAATACTTCATAGATGTGTCTAACTTACAAAAAGTGCAATGGGAGTACCAGTAATATCTTTTCTTGTTAATCCTATATCTATCTTTTTTATTATTATTTATATAAAACATTTAAATTAGATCTCAAGAAGCTAATATCACCCGAGTAAACACATGTACTGACGCTGAAGGATCAGTAGAATGTATGAAGTCGTTACGCGGTCTCCGCGCGGGGCGCACTTACGAAGCGTGGGTGCGAGCTGCTACGAGCGTGGGGGAAGGGCCGCCGTCATCTGTTGTGGCTTGTCAGACTAGTGCTTTAGGTAAGTATACTTTATTTACATCCTTAAACCTAAACTAGAAGAAAATCGCCGGCAAGCGACTGTTTGTATGTACACATATGATCGCTAATCTCGAAAAATTTAAAAGAACTTCCGTGCTGTTTTAAGAGCTATATAGTATACTCGTATTTATCCTGATAGATTTTTTTATAATAAATAAAAAAATATCTTAAACTTTTCATAAACGAGTATGAATAAATAAAGAAATGGAAACAACATATGGCGTACACATATTTTAAAATATTATATTGAACTAGCATTGCCCGCAGCTCCGCTCGCGTTCAGATGACCAAAAACCAAATTTTTAGGTTTTACATATTAGTATACTCTTACATTGCATTTTTTGTATTTTTTCTCAAAAATAAGATATTTTCCCGTGGTAAAAAGTATCCTATATGTTGACCCGGATAACCAGCTATCATCATACTAAATTTCATCAAAATCCCTCTAGTGGTTTTCTTGTGATGCGGTAACAGACAGACAGACAAAAATTCTAATAACTGTAGATTCGGCCTCTGTATCGATAATAATGTTTATTTCAATAAGATTTTCCGAAAAATATGTAATCTACAGATTTGGCTTAGTTACAATTTTATTATATGTATAATTTTTCCATGTATTCTATTGAAAGTAGTATAAAATATAAATATGTCAAGAGTTGTGGGATATTATATTGCAAAAAAAATCTCGCAGGGGCTAGTGCGGATGACATTACAGCGACAGGCTGTTATAAACATAACTTACTGTTGTTAAATATATATTCTGCTTTATACGACAAGTGCTCTCCTTAATCTAGCCCCCGCCCGTATCTCTTCATTTGGAGGAGTATCAGTAGGCGCTGCGGGAGGGTCTTTATCACTACGGTGTGTCGTCGGAGGCGTTCCACCGCCGGCAAAGAGATGGCTACGAGGCGGGAATCCTTTACACCCTCGATCACCTTTTCATTTGGACGGAGACGCACTTTTAATACGAAGTAAGTTAATTACTATTTCTTAATTTTGCATTTAGAAATAAACACTAAGTACGCAAGTGTTTATGAGTTAATGGATGCACACTTCAAAGTTTTCATATTTTTTTACAAAGAGTTTTTATTCTCGTAGGTTTAGAACTATCTCATGCAGATAATTATACATGTGTAGCGGAAAATCCACATGGTTCTGATTCTGTAACTTGGAGGGTTTATGTATTAAGACCTCCAACACCTCCCGGATTAGCTTTGTTGGAAGCCAGATCTAGGGAGTTGGAACTGGATCTCCGACCAGCTCCAAGGGCCCAGGGTCATGCGTTACCTAAAGTGTATACACTGCATTGGAGGCTTGCTGCTCCTGAGGTAATTATAATGTACTTAGAATAAACTGCTATTGATAAATAAAGTTGAATTATTTTAAAAAAAGTAACATTTTTTGCTGTAGAATGTACTCGTAGATGTATAAACGTATCAGCTTCATTGTTTTATATATTTACATGGTTAGTCTTCTTCTTCAACATATATATGTAACTAGGTGAAAAAAATATTTCTAATTTTCTTAAAACAATTTGAAAAAATGAGAATATGGTATATACATATCAGGAAAAACTTTTCAGGATTCTTTAATCAAGAAAATATGAAAAGTTTTAAGAAATAAAATGTTCATGTTCTGCTTGATCTAAATTGTTATCCTTATTAAAAAGCTAAAAATACTTTTCCGTATTATGTATTTTTAAAATTAAAGTTTTTTTATAAACATTTATTTTATATTTTAATGTATTGAAAAAAATATTATTAGGGAGAATGGCGAATCCAATCAGCTAGCCCCGGACCGGTAACACTAACAGGACTTCGCTGTGGGTCAGCATATAGAGCATATGGATCTGCGGGTGGAGCTCCGGGAGCAGAAATATCTATTAGGACTTCCGGGGGTCCCCCTACAGCGCCATCAGATAACAGATGGATTAGAACAAACGCGACGTATGCACGATTTGATACAAGCATGTGGTCTGATGGTGGATGTGGGCCAATGACTTTGAAGCTGGAGTGGAGTGGTACTGGTGCGGCCGGGGCTAGGGATGTGCCTGTCGGTGGAGAAGTTATATTGGGAGGTAAGGAGTGTAGTGTTTTGGTTTTTACAAGTGTGTTAGTATAATATATAGAAATAGTATATAGGAATTAAAAGTAAAATTACACAACCGCAATCTTAGTTTACTCGTATATTAGTTATATCGATTAATTTTAAGATAAAAAGCGATTTTGGGGTCTCCCAAAAAAAGAACAGCCTGGTATGTCACTATTGTTACAAACTTACTCAGGAGTGAGGTTAGGGAAATTGAGTATTGTAATTATATCATTTAGTGTGGCTTATTATGACATTTGTTAAGATAAATTAAAAGTTTAAATATTTTATGATGTGTCTTGATCTGATTTTTAATTTGTTTCGTTGTTTGATATGTAAATTATTGACATATTATATTTAAAGCTTGATTACTATTTTAGTTGTCACTTTTAATAGTTTTTTAAAGAGAATTTAAAAATGATATGTAAATTAAATTGAAGAGTATCAATGCACTATATACTCGTATGTAGGTCTTGCATCCGGCACAAGATACCGCGTGTCAGCCCGAGCTACAAACGAAGCGGGGTGGACGCGGGAGATATACGAATTCACAACGACGCTCGCTGAAGGCAGCTACGCGGAAGAGGTGGACGCGCCCTTCCCAGCCACTGCGGGGGAGTTGGCCTTGCTACTGGCCTTGTGCGCAGCTTTGAGTCTCGCTGCTTTGACTATATTGGCTATTTTGTTGAGGAGAAAAAGGTAAGAAATAAGTTTGTAATTTAAAAAAAAATCATATTTATTAAATTCATAATATAAATTTTAAATTGTATTAATAATTACAACTGGTTTCTCTTTATTCCTTCATATAGAAAGTTTCTACGCGTGATTGTTGTGTTTACAAAATAATCGTAATTTTTTTTAAATGGCAACAATAAAAATGTTCGTAGTTTCTTGTACTTTTTAACTGTAATTATAAACTTACTAGCCTTTTGGTGTCGAGAATATTTTAAAGTATTCTAATAATACATGCGCGCGTATTTCATAAATTTTAACTTTTTCAACTATTCATATGGATATATAAGCTTTGCTTTCTGTTTATGATATTTACAAATGGTTTCTCCGAACTTTTAAGATAACAATAATTTTACTAAACCAAAGGGTTAAAAGTAAATTGGCACAGACTCAGTAGCGAGTTTTTTGACCTTCTAGAGAATGACTTTGCTGAGGTAAAAGTTTCTACTTTCGCATTTTGTATGTACACTGTGGTTCAGTGTTCTTGTTTAATGTTACGATTTTTATTTAAGAACATATGAAATAACTATAAGTTTTTGTTAAACATTCATGGCAGCAAAGTTAAATATTATATTTTTAATTTTAACGTAAATTTACATACTTTATGCCAAAACTGTTCCAATTTGTCTTTTTATACCAACTATTATTAAAAATCTAGGTTACAAATAAGCTCAGAGCTTGCTTTAAGCTTGAAATGAAATAATAAATCACGGAGCGATAGTTGCAGAGAATGTTAGTAAAGATAGAAGAAAGGGATTTTTAAGAACAAAGTTGAATCTTTAATTATCTGTTTAACGAAAGATTTGCCTTATTGTTAATAACTGGATTACCGATTAACAGTTAATCAAAATAAGAAAGGAATACTGCACGAAAAAACCGAAAAAGACCAAAATAAAACCGTGATTTAAATGAAAGCTGAATGGAAATCATGCTGATAGGACAGATTTCTTTGTGAGTGGAAATACGATATTCTCGGTGACGAGGAGCTGACGTAGGACTCGATAGACAGTTCAATGAGATTTCATACACACTTTTTACGACAGGGGAATATTTTATCTTTAATATGAGATTTTTCGATTATATTTTTAGATAGAATTCATATTTGTTTTATTTGTACTTATAGAAACGAAAATTTAACCTCTAACCGCATCAGATATTTATGTCGTTAGTATTATTTGCTTCGATTTCACCATTTTAGCCCGCATACTATATTATGTTAAATGTAACTATGTGTATTGTAAATATATAATGAGTAAATCGTCGTAAAATGTATAGGTACACTTCTATGAGTATATCTTAAGACTTAATTTTTACTGCTAAATTTAAAAGTAAGTTTTAAACCTAAGGTCATTTTTTAAAGCTCAGAATATTTCAAGTCGAACAATTAAATGATGAAACTTAATTTAAATTACTTTTTTAAACTTAAAATTTTACAAATACGAGTATTCATGTTTTATTTGTTCAGTAAGTAATACATTACTCGTGGTAGCGTCGCAGCATTCGTTTAATGAATCGTGAATGTAGTTACGTCGCTTATCATTTGACAAGGAAGAATTTAAGAAAATTATGCTGATTTATTGAGTAAATTCTTTAAACATTCGAGATATTCTTCTATTTTATAAATATTGTACATAAATATAACTCACTGACTTTTTAAATAAAACTATCTTTTCGGATTTTGTCGCGGATTTATTTGTATTTTTGTTTCCCGACGTTTCGAATGCTTTACAGCATCCATGCTCACGGGAGAGACTGAGGTGTTACATGTCTTAAAGATATAGTTGTTACAGACAGCCTACCCACAATTAACAAAATGAAAATTGCACCAATTACATTACAATATTTTAACTTTAAATATTTTTATAATTTTAATTATAATTGAATATGGAAAATTATTTATTTAATTTTTGCTATTATTTTTATAATTATTACAATTTTAAAAATATTAATTAGCAATCTATATTTAGTGTTGCCATTATTATATTTATAACCATAAGAAAAATATAAAATATAGTATTAATTATTTAAGCCACAATTGATCTATGTGTAATTTGAAAAAGTTAAGATTAATTAAAAAATAATAATTTTAATTTAAATTTGCTATTATTTAAAAACAAATTATTAAGCAACACATTACTACATACATTTACAAATGAAAAAGTGAAAAAATATTATTAATCAGAAATGCTATCATTTTTATCTACACAGTAAGAACTTACTACATCTACCTGTCTGTTATGTTTAGATTTATTATTAGATTTTATTATATTAATAACAGGATCCCATGACGATGGTAGTACCCAGCCATCTTCCCTATTGAAATTACTCACTGACTGATACTGGCTATCACTCTAAAAGATTCAGTTTGCTAGCTATGGATTTGATTCCTGCTAGCGGTAAATAATTGTCTACAAATTATAAATCGAATATTTTTTCAAGCAAGTATTATAATATATATAGTATAAACTAAAAATATATCATTTCACAGTTGTATATTTTTATTATTTTCTTTAATTATTATCTGAAATTTTTTTTTTAAATGTTATTATGAAATTTAGAAAACGTGAAAAAAAACTTTGATTTCATTCTAATATTAAAGAATGCTACTTTATTTCAACTAAAAACAACAATTTTGATTATACAACAGCATAGAACGACAGTTTTGTTTTATTATCATTTTAACTGCACTCCAATAGGTAATAGGTATACTCGTACATTTAATTTCCTTAAATAATGGTTCATTTCATGTAATGTAATTTGTCTTTATTCCATCATAAAACAGCGTAGCGACAAAATCGTATTACAACAAACAGGGTTATAAATGTTTTATTACAATATGGTGTCGTAAAATGGATGCATTATAGTTCACGGGTAGTACGCGGGATAAACACGTGTGATGGATGCGTCACGTCGCGCTTCATGTGGAGGATTTATTTAGTTACTTACTTTTGGTATTAATGTGACAAAATATATTTTGTACTAGCATTGCCCGCGGCTCTGCCCGCGTTCAGATGACCAAAAACTAAATTAGATTAGCTTAGGTTGTACATATTCCCCCCCAACGTGCGTTCACCTTGTCGTGGTGGGGGGGCTCAGTAGTGCCCGGCGACCCAACCGGGCGCGAAGCCAAGAAACGCACAGGGAGGTGGCCCACTTCGGAGGGCAGTGTACCATGCGGGTTGCTCCTGGTACTTCTCTGATAGCAGAGTGGACTGTGGAGCAACCCCGTGGTTGTTGTGGTCTGCTTCGGCAGACCTGCCGTCGGGGCGTCGTAGTTGAATGCGTAAGCGATCCTGCGACGCCCCATTAAGACGGGGGAAGGCTTTGTTGGGTTTTAGTGGGTAGTACTGGCTTTGCCGGTGAGTCCCACACCTCGTGCGTAAATGCATTTCCCAACAAGGTTGTACATATTAGTATACTCTTACAATGCAGTTTTTGTATTTTTTCTCAGAAATGAGACATTTTCCCGCGGTACAAAGTATCCTATGTGTTGACACGGATAACCAGCTATCATCATACCAAATTTCATCAAAATCTGTCCAGTAGTTTTTTCGTGATGCAGTAACAGACAGACAAAAATTCTAAAAACTATAGATTCGGACTGTATCGAAATTTAAATGTAAATTTTCCAAAAAAAAATATGTACAGATTCGACTTAGTTACAATTTAATTATATGTATAGACTATAGTTCAGTGTGCGATACGTTAAATTAAGCTAAAATTTGATACTGTTGGCCGATCTATATGCAATTGTTAAATGTTACGTAATATATTCGTTAACTTATTCTAAATCTACGCACATAAAGAAAATATAGAGTTTGTAGAATAGTGGGCAATCTTGATATTTTAATTACTTGGTATTCCGATTGAATACAAAATAAATTATCTATACTGATATTATAAAGAGGCAGAGTTAGTTTATTTGTGTGAACGCGCTAATCTCAGGAACTATTCATGCAATTTGAAAAATTCTTTTTGCAGTAGATATTATATATATCATATATTATATGTAATATCTGTCTATTCCATACTAAACGTTAAAACGTACCTAGTGACGTATCCAAGTGAAGCGAGAGTGAGTCGCTAGTTTATCATATTTTTATAACTGTGAGCTTAATGAAGCTTATAAGCATTTCAAAGTTTGAAAATAAATATATATTTTTAAAAATGTTTTCTTTCTGTAAAAACCTTATGTTTGTAGCAAAAGCTTTTAGATGTTATTTATAACTCATGTTGAACACACCCACTTTAATGTTACATTTGCCGTAAAAGGCAAATATTTTAAATATTGTTTATCGAGCTTTTATATTTCTGAAGAGGTTTCTTTTTTGTGTTCTTCAAATATAAATTAGAAATAAATACAAGTAAAATGTAGGTATATCAGACGTCAAATGACTTCCGGTTGACAGAAACACGTAATTTCTATTTTCCTCTATGGAAGAGGAAATAAAATTGGAAATTTCCAAATGATATTATGCCTCATACACGTAAATATCAGATTATGGTAAAATCTAAGAAAGATTGATGACTTTGGTAAGTGTATTTCATGTATGACGTTACATTATAGTAATACTACTATATACTAAAACGAAAATATATTGGGTTTTTAAATCTATTTACCGCTAGTGACTAACCCCTGCTTGCAATGAGCTGTTCCAGCGTGAACGTGTTATTAACATATATACTCCTACAAACTTTCATATATCTATACATATAATAAAATTGTAACTAAGCCGAATCTGTACATTAAATATTTTTTGGAAAATTTTATTGAAATGGACATTATTATCGATACAGAGGCCGAATCTGTAGTTTTTAGAATTTTTGTCTGTCTGTCTCTCTGTCTGTCTGTCTGTTACCGCATCACGGAAAAACCACTGGCGAGATTTTGATGAAATTTAGTATGATGATAGCTGGATATCCGGGTCAACATACGAGTATAGGATACTTTTTACCGCGGGAAAATTTCTCATTTCTGAGAAAAATACAAAAACTGCAATGTAAGAGTAAACTAATATGTAAAACCTTAGAATTTGGTTTTTGGTCATCTGAACGCGGGCGGAGCCGCGGGCAATGCTAGTGTATTTATAATAGCAACAAACAATTTTGTATGAAAACTAAGTCAATTCAATTAGAAGAATATTAAATTCCAAGTGAATTCAGAAGTAATGCCTAGTTTTCTCATAAACCATAACATCCTCAATAACATTTTAGTACTAATACCGCGGAGCTTCTGTTAAAACATTGTGGTTTATTTATGCTCTTCATTAAAGAGCTTTAAGCTCGTTGTAAAGTATGAAGATTTTGTGTCACTACATTTACTTTGTAATTCTTAGAGGTGATCCACCGCTTAAGAGGCATTCATGTTCTTATTATATTAATGTTTCCATTATAACGAAGGAGTTACATCGTAATTATAAACATAAACAAATAACATAAATCTTTAAAATTATACCTGTAAGCTTGTAATAGCTCTGCCCCTTAAATCTTTCTGCTGCTCTTTGTGTGTTTTTAAATTTTAAAAATCTTTAATTTTTTAAGTTTATTGTAATATGAGTATATATTGATATTTAAATGTAAATTTATTCATATTAAGGCTAGAGTTAGGATAGAGTTTTATGTATTATATTGTAGGAACGTTTTGTTCTCCCGAGCCTTTGTCTTTGCACTTACATTTTGACCTGAGTACTAAATAACTCAGGTAATGTAACTTTTCAATTAATAAGTAAAGTACATAATAAATATACTAAAAAAATTACATTTAAAGTCCTAAGCATCCTGGAAGCTCTTTTTTTAGGGAATAAAATGTGACCTATATATGTTCCCGTATCGTAAGTTAACTTTATGCCAATTTTCCTTGAACAATCTCAAGTTTAAGTAATTTTACAGTTAAAAGAAAATTTTACAGTTAAAAGAAAAAAGAAAGAAAATTAAAAATAATAAGTATAATATGTGCTTTCGTTAACTTGTTTTTTATATATTTAGTTCACATTTTACGCAGTTGGTTCTTTTGTTTTCAACCGACTTCAAAAAGGAGGAGGTTCTCAATTCGACTGTATGTTTTTTTTTTTTTTTTTTTTTTTTATGTTTGTTACCTCAGAACTCCGTCATTTATTAACAGATTTGGACAATTTTTGTTTTGTTTGAAAGGGTATACTTCCAGATTGGTCCCATTTAAATTTCAAAAAAAAATACCACCCCTAAGGGTGGAAAAACAACTAATAATGAATTTAACCTACTTCTAATTGTCATATTGACTTGAAACTTTGCAAGTATTTCTATTTTCGTTGATAGTACAGTGGTTCGGTGTTGTTGACCTGATCTGATGGCAAGGCCAGAAGGTGGATAGATGGAACTCTTTAACGGCTAATAGTAGATACTTTGAGTTTGGGCTTATTTTGTTTGATTTGACAAGCCTAACACGTTAGAATCCTTACTTTGCTACTACTGTCTACACTAAAAAGGGAAAAATAAAAACTTTTTAACAAAAAAATAAAAACCGACTTCAAACAAAAGGACTAAAAAGTGAAAAATAACTGATTGGTAGTTTTCATTTACTATACATACCTAATCAAATATTTTCGAAGTCGGTGTGCTTTGGCTAAGTAATTAAAGCCTACCTATTAAATACATACCTAATCAAATATTTTCGAAATCGGTGCCAGCCCATACAAAGCAAAGCACACCGACTTCGAAAATATTTGATTAGGTATGTATAGTAAATGAAAACTACCAATCAGTTATTTTTCACTTTTTAGTCCTTTTGTTTGAAGTCGGTTTTTATTTTTTTGTTAAAAAGTTTTTATTGTAATATTTTTTTATTTAACTTTTTTGTGTCCTTAACTATTCATAATCATACAAATTTTACATATTTTTGTAATATCCGCTTTAACCCTTGATTTTTAATACCACTCTCGGTAGGTTTGAAGATAAAATATTCAAGATCCCGTCTTAAATCTGCCATTTTAATATTGTATGATCTTAATATAACCTAAAACACGTGTTATCAAGACGAATTTAACGACATATAATTCATCAAAATCTGTTCAGCCCTTTAATATTTAGTTACTAGGATCGGTAATTCATAATACATACATATGCATACAGGTCAAATACATTAACCACCTATAGGTTTCGTCGCAGTCTGCTAAAACTAGATACTAACTAGTCCATACTAATATTATAAATGTGAAAGTGTGTTGGTTTGTTTGTCCTTCTTTCACGTTGAAACGGAGTGCCGGATTGGTGTGTATTTTTTGTATGGAGATAGTTTGAGAGCTGTAGAGTGACATAGGCTACTTTTTACCGCGAGAGTTTATATCATTCTCACGGGAAAACACGTTATACTACAACTTTAAAAAATATTTATGATCAGAATTACTTGAAACTTGGTATTAATGTTTTTCAATACAATTAAATAAATACGTGTTTTAGCATTTTTAAAAATTCATCCCATCTGGGGGTAAAATAAGGCATGGAAGTTTGTATGAAACCTATCTTTTTTAAGGTTTTTTAGCGAAGCCGCGGATTTTGCTAGTATATTATAAGTTAGCTTAAATTTAATAAAAATCAAACTAAGATTATTAAAATTACAAGGAGAGTAAATCTTGGAAAATTTATTATAATACCAATAAAAATGTACTTAATTAAATAAGTAGGTAATACTTTCTATAAATACTTTGCAAATGAAGCGCAGATTGAAATAAGAAATGTAAAAATAACCATAATAAAATTTGAACAGTTACTAAGCATTAACAAGTCACTTGTTCAGAACATGCGTGTGGTATATTTTTCGATAATATTTTATACTAGCATTGCCCGCGGCTCCGCCCGCGTTCAGATGATCAAAAACTAAATTCTTAGGTTTTACAAATTAGTTTACTCTTATATTAGTTTTTGTATTTTTATCAGAAATTAGATATTTTTCCGCGGTAAAAAGTATCCTATATGTTGACCCAGATAATCAGTTATTCCCATACCAAATTTCATCAATATCCCTCTAGTGATTTTTCCGTGATGCGGTAACAGACAGACAGACAGACGGATAGACAGACAAAATTCTAAAAATTATTGATTCGGCATCTGTATCGAAAATAATGTTTGTTTTAATAAGATTTTCCAAAAAATATTTAATGTACAGATTCGGCTTAATTAGAATTTTATTGTATGTATAGATTTTTCTCGGCATAATTCTTGTATTTCCATTCAAATTCATTTCAATCGCTCGACTAAATGTATAGGTATAGTTTTAGCTCTTTGATCTACACGTTTCCATATTAAATTGGAGTCATGTTTAAGGGCTGTGGAGTCAATGGAAATGGTTGAAGTTTTGTATTTCAGGGCTACAAAATGCAAAAAAAAATTGAAAACACTCAAAGGCTTTTTTTTTAAATTGAAAAAATTAGAAAAATGCGGTCGCGTTTCGCTCGGTTTCGGTCTGATTTAAGCTATTTTTTTCACACCCCGCTTATCAAAGGAGAGGGACGGGCCGTGGACTAAAACTAGTAAAATATGCCTAGTAAACTGATACATTATTAAAAACAGTTGAACATTCTCTAAAAGAATATGACCAGATTTTCTTTAAAGTGTGAGATGTGTTTTGTGTAGAAGCGACGGAGCAGTAGCTCGTGTAATCACTAGCGGCGACAAGCCCGGCTGCGGCACGTACCGGCCGCCCCCACACCCGACGCCGAAGTTGCCTCCTGATCCACCAGGTGATATTATACTGCTCATTTATTTGCTATGACATTTTGCGTTTATTATCTTCGGCTTTGATGTTTTATTTCAAACATAACTTGATTTTTCACAAATGTAAGTAGTATATATACAAAGTAAAAAGGCTTTTGTTTTATTTTTGATAATTTACATAAATTTATTTTTTCTAAAGAGCAACGTAGAATTGATATATACTTTCATTTGTGGTTTATTTATTGCTAGGATAGCCATTATAACGTCGATGTTTTGGTAATAAATAATGTGTGTACAGATTTCCATCTAGTCTGAAGTTACACAAAACTAAATATTCTATTTGAGTCCATAACGAAGCTTTGGATATTCTTTTCAATTATAAAAAAAATTAGCTAACTACGGTAACTATCGACAGAAATTCTTAAATTACATTTTCCAGTAACGGTATATAAAAGTGTCATATAAAATAGATAATTCGATAGAAATACGAAGCTACTTGAATATAATTAGATATTTATTTTCTCTGTACATTAGACGTGTACGAAATAAGTCCATACGCAACGTTTGCGGGGGGCGATGCTCTGGCAGGCAGCGGGTCGCGCGCCTACACGCTGCAACTACGAGCACTCGCGCGCCACGAGGACGACGCCGCGCCGCCCACGCACCCACCGTGCTGCGATGGTGAATAACACCATGTTAATTAATATTTTTGTCCAGATAATAATTTCTTAGATTTACGCGAATATTTGACATTTAAAAAAAGCTATTTTTGCGAGGATTTATGTTGATTTTTGGCTACCAACTTTCAAATACTCTAACTTTCTCGTCTCCATGATTCTAATAAACATGTAAAATAATAAATATGAAAAATAGTTTAATTTTTTTGTAACTAATATTTCATTTTATATGTCAATGTGGGTGAGTTTTTTTTGCAGTAGTACTAACTAAATACTCTAAAGCTTACGCACACTATAACAGCGTATTATAGATTGTATAAAACAAAGGTTCATCCACCTTCGCGTCTTTATACGACGACAGGAATTAGCTCGACTTGTTTGTAATCTTTACCGATCATCCTTCGATATATTATATGTATTTCCGTATAATATCGATTGTCTTAAGGGATTTAGATAAATTCCACAGTTATTTCTACTTTTTAATTGAATAAAAAATTCATATCATACACAAAATATAATAATACAGAAACAAACCTATCCCACGAGAACCGTACATTTTTTCGGGATAAAAAGTACAGCCTATGTGTTACTCCAGACTATAATCTATCTCTGTGCCAAATTTCATCCAGATCCGTTCATCCGTTTTGGCGTAAAAGGGTAACACACATCCATACACACACACAAACTTTCGTATTTATAATACTAAATACGGATTAACTTTATAATAAATACGTATTTTTTTTGTAAATTATACATTTTTTATCAGAGGAAACCTGTGTGGACGCTTGCGAAGCTCAACGCCGACGACGACGACGACGACACTACTGCCCAGATCATGGTAAATCTTCTTACTAGATTTGGTTTGATTTGATTTAAATCTTTACAAGATTTGAAACTTTAGTTACAAGAAAAGTTACATACAATTAATCTGAGTTTATGCTTAAATATATACAAAACATATTCGCACTTAATAATTACAAGTCACGTCCGAGCGGCAAGCATGCTCGCTGCATTCCCCCGCGAATCACAATGCCTATTTGGGCGAAATACCGCCAACCTTCTTTTCCCTAGTAGAGGCGAGAAAACGAAGTCCTTTAAAAAGTTTTTAAAAACACTTTATTGCAATTGTTACTTAGAAATAATTTTGAAGACAGGGAAACTCATTCTAATGAAGAATAAGACACTATTTCATATTTTACACCTTTTAAACGGCATTGCCGGTGTTTTCCTAGCGGTGTTCATATTAATTAGAACAATCTGTTAAGGAAATTTTCATGCTGTAAAATTTTAGACAAATCCATATCCCAATATAAGAATTTTGAATGAAAACTAATTATATATATAAAATTCTGGTGTTCGTAATTTTTGTCCTAAACGGATTGACCTATTTTGATGTTTTTTCTTCTAAATTGCTTTCATTAGGATCATTACATTATTATTATTTATGTTGGGTGTGGTGCCGAGGTCGGCCCTAGCTACGTCGACCAGTTTTGGTCCATTGTAGCTCCCTTTATAATGAATTCAAAGTTCTCCGCTTAGTCCTGTTGACTCCAGAAACTTCCAGATTTTCTGAGCGGGGAGCATCTGTATCTCTTTTGGTTGCATAATATGCTGCCCTAGATAGATACTTCTGCGGTGCATGAGTGGACCGCACGAGCAGAGGATGTGCATAGCAGTTTCCTCTGTCTCATGGCATAGTCTGCACATTGCGGTTTGACTGAGGCCGAGGGTAAACATATGTTTATTGAGTTTGCAGTGACCAGTAAGTATTCTGGTTACCGCACTGGTTTTATACTTGTTGAGTTGAAGCAACTCTTTTGTAAAGGTTTTGCGATATCCCTTAATTAGCGCTTAAGAGTGTGTTTGTCCAGAAGTGGATTGCCACTCTTGAAGTGCTTTGAGATTGCAGTGGTTTTTGAGAATTGAATAGGCATGTTGTTTGGCAATACCACAAAATGGCTCGGGGCCAAATACTGGGGTTTCAGCGCCCCTTCTTGCCAAGGCATCGGCCTTTTCATTCCCGTCTATACCTGAGTGACCCGGGACCCATCTGAGGATAACTCTGTTGGATGTGCCCAGGACATTCAGATTATTCATACAGTCTTTGACCAACTTAGAGTTGGTCTCAAGAGAATCTATAGCCAAAAGTGCTGCTTGGCTATCTGAGTTGATGTAGATATTTTGGTTCTTAAGCTTTCTTTCCAGGATGACTTCAGCACATTTGTTAATGGCGAAGACCTCTGCTTGAAAGATGGTGGCCTCTTTGCCCAGATTGATACTCATGTTAAATCTAGGCTTTAGGCCATAGATACCGCACCCTACATCAGATCCTTTCTTGGATCCGTCTGTAAACCAAACATGACTGCCCTTTTTGTGAGACACTTGGTCTTTTAGCCACATGTCCCGGTTGGGAAGATCTATTTGGTACTGTTTTATGAAGTTAAACTCTGTGCTCATGCCATTCACTGGCATTTTTAGAGTTTTATGTTCGAATGTCAACTCTTTGAGTTTGTTGCGATTGCAACCTTACATTCGATTGTGTACAGAGCCTGTAGAGGCAGGATTTAGCTTCTTTTTGCACGTGGAGATATAGCGGAGCTATGTCCAACAAAGCATTTAGAGCGTCTCCTGGTGCCGAATGAAAGGCTCCTGTGATAATTAGACATGCCATCCGTTGCACACTGTCTAGTTTACTTATAGTTGTCTTTTGTTTGGTTTTGTTACACCATACGACTGAGGCGTATGTTATAATCGGCCTTACCACAGCGGTGTACATCCAGAGAGCCATTTTGGGTTTGAGACCCCACTTTGCTCCAGCCATTCGACAACATATCTATATTCGACAATCATTACATAGATTAGAAACTTAGCTATATTTGGATCTGGTAGATAGCATTGTTGTCGAGAATCAAGATTTTTTTTATTTTACAACCAAACGAGGTATGTAACACAACAACGGCTACACTACCGGTCCGCTAGTATAAATATATGTTCATCGTAGTTTGTATATACTAATGCTAATAGTTTAAATATGTTTGTACTTTGTCCAGCAGGTTGCTCACAAGACTCCGGAAGTTGAAGCACACTGCCAAATTGTTTAGTGAAAATATCTAGTCAACTTAATTAGAAAATTCAGTTATACATATTAATATGTATACAAACATTTTTACAATAATATTGTCTATTTATATTATCATGTTTTTCTTTCATTACTTATCCCTGTCCCTAAAGAATAATAAGAGCAGAATAATACACTTAAATAAAAACAAAACAAATAGAGTAATGTTAGTTGGTCAGTCCATTTTTTTTTCACTTTAAATATTAAAAATCACATGGACGTGATATGGCCTAAACATGGACGAATTAGAGACTGGACCTGACATAAAATACAAATGTATGAAAACTAGTTCAACCAAGTGACGCATAACGCACACAAAGATTTTATTACATTATTATAAACACTGATACACAATACAATATTTCTAGTGTTGAACGTAATCGATGAAATACATATATCGATGAACCAATGAATGACATTTTAAACATTAGTTAGCATAGTCATCATATTTTACATCTTTTAATTTAAAATATCTGTATTTATTATAATAAATTAAAATAAATGAATTAAAGAGGCAATAATAATGTGTCAAATAATAATTATTTTTTAATTTGATTTATATAAATACGATGGCATTGATGGAAACATTCTGTTGGCCTATAATAATGTTAATAAACAAATGAATATCGGGTGTATATTCCATTAATATATAATAAATATTATTTTGTAAAGATTAAAAAAATATTAAGCTAATTTAATTAAATAAAGTGATTTTGTTGATTCTGTTATTGAACTATTTTAATTGGCAATTGATTGTCTCCGGTAGTTATAAAAATGTGACACTGTCCTAATATTGCTCAGTTATTAATAAACATTTGTGAAATTAGGAAAAAGAAAAAGTGATTGCAAATTGTGAAAAAGTGAGTGTTGGATCGTGAAAGTAAAATAATTAATGCAAGTGGTAAAGTGTTTTATAACAAATCGCCAACCCAGAAGTTTAGTGCTAAAACATTATTGTTTGATTTTGTGTAATTTATGTGTTGAAATAAAATGATCTTTATTATTATAACAATGGAATAATATTCCAAAGTATATAAATGTGGTATAAAATAAAATAAAAAATTAAGTACACATTCTAAATATAATTTTTGCAATTATATTTTTTTTTGATTTAGAAAATATTTTTATAAATTTATTGTCATCAGATTGTAGGATACTGTGATAAAAGTATTTTATGTTATGGTACTGTACAAATAACACAATTCGTTCAGTTATTTCGTCAAATATCGATATATTTTTCGACATTGTCAAGCACTAGTCGATGTCAAATGGACTCACTCGACAGTTTTGTCATTTGTTCTGAATGGTATAATCCAGCCCGTTTATGATGGTTGTCAGATGTCAACAATACATAGAAATATCGACTATATTTAACATAGTTGGATAATATGACATTTTATTTTACATTTAATTAAATTTTGTGATAAATAACAGTAAATGTAATAAAATAATGTATTTACAAGTGAAAAGAAATAGTGCTGCTTCCGCCGTTATATTTTTACACCAATTAACAGAACATTTAGTCATTTTTGGGAGATGTTTTGTTGACAAGTAAGTGCTTGAGACTGACACAAAAAACAAACGACCTAGGCTAAAATTCCCTGGTTACTGACATGACCGTTAAAGGTACGTCCGCTTATATGTCTGGTCCAGTGGTTAATTCGTTCATGGGCCTAAATAATAAATTCTTATTATTATTAGTTAGAAATACAAAAAAGTGTAATTAAATCGAGATGGTTGTTTCATGACTAAAGGTTCTAACACCTCTTGTAACTGGTGCTACACTCAATGGATCAAATGCATTATTTGAACAAAAAATAAGATTAAGTATATAATCTCGTTTAGGCTCATCCAATCATTCTTAATGAGTAGTTGTATAACCAAATATAGTAGACTTAATACTTTCTTCAATTTACGCGTATATACCAAAAATCTATACATATAATAAAATTGCAACAAAGTCGAATCTGTACTTAGACATTTTTTGGAAAATCTTATTGAAATAAATATTATTATCGATACAGAGGCCGAATCTGTAGTTTTTAGAATTCTTGTCTGTCTGTGTGTCTGTTACCGCATCACATAAAAACCACTAGAGGAATTTTGATAAAATTTGGTATGGTGATAGCTGGTTATCCGGGTCAACATATAGGATACTTTTTACCGCGGGAAAGTATCTCATTTCCGAGAAAAAATACAAAAACTGCAATGTAAGAGTATACGAATATGTAAAACCTAAGAATTTGGTTTTTGGTTATCTGAACGCGAGTCGCGGTCAATGCTAGTTTATAATAAATTTCAAAATCATGGTAGAGTTCTAATATGATATTATATTCTAATACTTATTATTAAAATAATTATACTGATATTATGAAGGTAGTGGCCTCAGTTAAGTGAAGCGGGCTTGAATCCCGATCTTGCAGGTACGATATTCTCATATATGAATCATTTTCAACATGATTACCACTCGCCTGGTAAAGTAAAACATAATGAAAAATATCTCGGAGAACCTAACAGGACTTCGAAAGACGTGTGAGTTACTAGCCTGCACTTGATAAGCGTCAAACTTCCTATAATTTTATTGTACAAGTTTGCGGTTAATTGATTCACTTAAAAATAGTTTCTAATATACATAGATATGATGATATTAAGCCACAGAAGGGTTTTTTCTAATCTTATTATGTTAAAATGTCCACATATAATTAAGCATTTTCTTAAGTAAATATTAAACTAAACAAAAGTCTCTTACTAGTTACCGTGCTAGTTCTATTATAAAATGTTATAATTAATTATATTAAAATTGTTTATAAGAGTACCAACAATACAAAACAAAAGGAAATGGTTATATAGAAAATAATATGGGATAAAATTGTTAAAGCATACATAGAATAAAGGATAAAGAGGTTTTCGATTACTTCAAATGAACGCCTAAAGCTAATTTCTCTAGTCTAATTATGATAGATTGATGTCAACAACTTAACTTCAGTGTAAATTAACAATAACCTACATTAAGCTTAACTTATAAATTCGTTAAACAAATTAAAGTGTAATTTATCATTAGTAGACTCTTATTGAATTAATGTTAATGAAAAAACACTGTAGCTTTTTTCTTTCTCAGTGTTGTATAGGATGACATGTAATTAACCTTTCTGTGACATTTTTAGATCAATTTGTAAAAAAGCAAAGAACTGAACTGAAAAAGGATATCTTAATTCGTACTGTAGTATATTTGCGTCGTAAATTATAAGGTTTTAAATTATATAGGTGCGAAGGATGTAGTAAATGAGGAAATGGAAAATCGTAACGATTTCTAAAATTCAAACTATATTAGTAGGTTAATGAATATATTAATTTTGCTCTAAAGTGAATTTAAATAACTAAGTGATCATAAATTTTGTAAAAAGCAGGACCAATAAAGTCATATATTACACACATTTATAAAGTTTTACCAAATAGCCTGTTAGTGTTGCAGTGCTGGATAAAATTATACAAATAATATTCCTCAAATGTTGCTAGAAATAATATATTCATCTAATTATTGTCCAAATAGATAATCTCAAAGTATAGTAAAGAAGGACAAAGCTTTATGAGTGCGCTTCAGTCAGTAATCCAGTATGAGAGCTGACGGAGCAATTAGACAGTAACTGGATTACCGCATTAATGGAACTCGAGCGGAAAATCAATAGGATCTAATTTCTTTTATGTATCGGAAAATATTAAGAGAAAATAAAATATCAGTTATTTTATACGATAGAGTTTTTTTTTATTTCTAGCACGTTTTTATGGGGTGGGTAGGGCATATTATGCCCCATCCCTGTGTACTGGTATTAATATATTATCCATACATATTAAAATTGTAACTAAGCCGAATCTGTACATTAAATATTTTTTGGAAAATCTTATTGAAATAGACATTATTATCGTTACAGAGGCCGAATCTATAGTTTTTAGAATTTTGTGTGTCTGTCTGTTACCACATCACAGAAAAATCACTGAAGAGATTTAAATGAAATTTGGTATGGTGATAGCTGGTTATGCGGGTCATATCATATGATAATTTTTACCGCGGGAAAATATCTCATTTCTGAGAAAAAATGCAAAACTGAAATGTAAGAGTATACTAATCTATAAAACCTAAGAATTAGGATTTTACCGCCGCAATGAGCCATATGTGAGCCATATATATGGCAATGCTATTTAATAATATAAAAGTATTTCAAGTCGAATCCTTCGAATTGATCAGAATTCTAATTTAGCTTTTGATTTAAGCATTTAAATGAATTTGCATGAATAGTACTATATACTTTTCATACCTTTTTTATAACTTACTTATAAGATATTATTTTTATTTTATTTATTTATTATTATCATTTAAAAGGTTTAGGTGCCCAAATAAGAAATATTTTATTTACCTAAACGGATATAACAACTTAGTATTATGTTCTAATACGAACTCGCCTACAAGGAACGAATGAGAGAATGAGCCTGCAAGTTTCGCCGCAGTACGTGGTAGTCAAATAAATACCCACAACGATGATAGTTAAAAGCTTATTAAAAACTAATTAATACCCTCGTTTTACCCGGGTGCGTCCCTACACATAGCGTTGCTACAGTTTAATAGGAAGATATTTATAACAGAAATACTTCATTAGTTTACGCGGGACGCCAATAAAGCTCTCCGTCGCCATGATTTTTTTGACATTTTCAACAATTATCCTCATATTTCAGTCAACTTATACACAACATAATTGATTATACACATAAACCTTTCTCATAAACTACTTCACCTATTGGTGAAAACCGTATGAAAATCCGTTCGGTAGTTTTTAAGTTAATTGAGTTTAAACAGACAGACAGACGCGGTGGGGTCTGATATGTGTGATAATAATTTTATAGCTTTTTCACAACATTTTAATAAATTGACGCGACAAAAGTATCTATTTATTTCTAATATTTTA